AGCAAATATGGCAGGCAACCAGCTTAGCTTAAATCCTTGCTGATCTTAAACACAAAAAAGAAGCTGACAAGAAGGGGAAGATTGGACAAAATGACCAGGGAGGAGTATAAATATATTGCTCAGGCATGCAGGAGTGAAATCAGGAAGGCCAAATCATACTTGAAGTTGCAGCTAGCAAGAGATGTTAAGAGTAACAAGAAGGGTTTCTTCAGATATGTTAGCAACAAGAAGAAAGTCAAGGAAAGTGTGGGCCCCTTACTGAATGAGGGAGGCAACCTAGTGACAGAGGATGTGGAAAAAGCCAATCTACTCAACACTTTTTTTGCCTCTGTCTTCACGAACAAGGTCAGCTCCCAGACTACTGCACTGGGCAGCACAGCATGGGGAGGAGGTGATCAGCCCTCTGTGGAGAAAGAAGTAGTTTGGGACTATTTAGAAAAGCTGGACAACCACAAGTCCATGGGGCAGGATGCACTGCATCCAAGAGTGCAAAAGGAGTTGGTGGATGTGATTGCAGGGCCATTGGCCATTATCTTTGAAAACTCATGGTGATCGGGGGAGGTCACGGACGACTGGAAAAAAGGCTAATGTAGTGCCTATCTTTAAAAGAGAGAAGAAGGAGAATCCTGGGAACTACAGGCCATTCAGCCTTACCTCAGTTCCTGGAAAATCATGGAGCAGGTCCTCAAGGAATCAATTCTGAAGCACTTAGAAGGGAGGAAAGTGATCAGGAACAGTCAGCATGGATTCACCAAGGGCAAGTCATGCCTGACTAATCTAATTGCCTTCTATGACGAGATAACTGGCTCTGTGGATGAGGGGAAAGTAGTGGAAGTGTTATTCCTTGACTTTAGCAAAGCTTTTGATACAGTCTCCTAGAGTATTCTTGCCAGCAAGTTAAAGAAGTATGGGCTGGATGAATGGACTATAAGGTGGATAGAAAGCTGGCTAGATCGTCGGGCTCAATGGGTAGTAATCAATGGCTCCATGTCTAGTTACCAGCCGGTATCAAGCGGAGTGCCCCAAGGGTCGGTCCTGGGGCTCGTTTTGTTCAATATCTTCATTAATGATCTGGAGGATGGCGTGGACTGCACCCTCAGCAAGTTTGCAGATGACACTAAACTGGGAAGAGTGGTAGATATGCTGTAGGGTAGGGATAGGATACAGAGGGACTTAGACAAATTAGAGGATTGAGCCAAAAGAAATCTGATGAGGTTCAACAAGGACAAGTGCAGAGTCCTGCACTTAGGATGGAAGAATCCCATGCACCGCTACAGACTATTGACCGAATGGCTAGGCAGCAGTTCTGCAGAAAAGGACCTAGGGGTTACAGTGGACGAGAAGCTGGATATGAGTCAACAGTGTGCCCTTGTTGCCAAGAAGGCCAATGGCATTTTGGGCTGTATAGGTAGGGGCATTGCCAGCAGATCGAGGGACGTGATCATTCCCCTCTATTTGACATTGGTGAGCCCTCATCTGGAGTAGTATGTCCAGTTTTGGGCCGCACACTACAAGAAGGATGTGGAAAAATTGGAAAACATCCAGTGGAGGGCAACAAAAATGATTAGGGGACTGGAACACATGACTTATGAGAAGAGGCTGAGGGAACTCGGATTGTTTAGCCTGCGGAAGAGAAGAATGAGGGGGGATTTGATAGCTGCTTTCAACCTCCTGAACAGGGGTTCCAAAAAGGATGGATCTAGACCAGGCGTCGGCAACCTTTTAGAAGTGGTGTGCCAAGTCTTCATTTATTCACTTTAATTTAAGGTTTCGCATGCCAATAATACATTTTAACGTTTTTAGAAGGTTTCTCTCTATGTCTATATATTATATAACTCAACTATTGTCGTATGTAAACAAGGTTTTCAAAATGTTTAAGAAGTTTCATTTAAAATTTAATTAAAATGCTGATCTTACGCCGCCAGCCCGCTCAGCCTGTTGCCGGCCTGGGGTTCCGTTCACCTAGGCCGGCAGCAGGCTGAGTGGGGCCTGCGGCCAGGACCCCGGCTGGCAAGGGGCCAGCAGTCAGAACCCAGGACCGGCAGTGGGCTGAGCGGGGCCAGTGGCCGGGACTCCAGAATGGCAGTGGACTCAACGCTCAGCCCGCTGCCGCTCAGCCCGCTGTTGGTCTGGGGTTCCGTCTGCTGGCTCCTGCCAGCCAGGGTCCTGGCTCCCGGCCCCGCTCAGCCTGCTGCCAGTCTGGAGTCCCAGCCCTGTCCACACAGAGTAGGTACCTACCTTCTCCCTGGTTCTAGCCCATTCTCTTCCTCTCTCTGCACTGAGATGAGGGTGGGAGTGTGCTGAGAACAGGGCTGGGGGTGAAGGAGCAGGCTGGGGGTTGGGGTGCAGGGTCTGGCCAGGAGCTAGTATGAGGGAGAGGGCTCAGGGTTGGGGCAGGAGGTTTGGGTGTGGAGCATTTACCTGGGCAGCTCCCATTTGGTGCGAGGGGTGTAGGTGGGAATGGGGTGTGGGGCGTGCAGGAGCTCCTGTTTGGTGCTCAGGGTGGGAGTGGGGATGTGGGGGGTGCAAGAGTCAGGGCATGGGGGGGCTGGGTATGTGTGAGGAGGGTGCAGAAGTCAGGGCAGGGGGCTGGGGAGGGCGCAGGGGTCAGGGCAGATGGCTGGGGAGTGTGGGGGGTGCAGGGGTCAGGGCAGAAGGCTGGGTGTGTGTGAGGAGGTTCAGGGGTCAGGGCAGAGGGCTGGAGGTGTGTGAGGGGGTGCAGGGGTCAGGGCAGAGGGCTGGGGTGTGGGGGGTGCAGGGGTCAGGGCAGAGGGCTGGGGAGTGTGGGGGGTGCAGGGATCAGGGCAGAGGGCTGGGGTGTGGGGGGGGTGCAGGGGTCAGGGCAGAGGTCAGCAGGGCAGGGGTCAGCGGCTCATGGCAGGAGGCTGGAGAGGATATGCCCTGATCCACCCCCTTCCCCAAGGTCCCTGGAGCAGAGAGCGCGCTGTGGCTCCGTTTTTACCTCTCCCCCTCCATAGCAAGGGCCGTCAGCTGATTGGCCACAGGGAGGGAAAGAAGGAGGGACAGGAACCCAGCACGCTAGGGGAAGAGGCAGGGGGAAGAGGAAGCTTGCTTGCCCTGCAAGGAGAGAGTGGTGGGTGGGGGGCAGAAAAGAGCGGGCCGGGCCGGACAGGCTTTTTAGTGGTACGCTGCTGTCTGCTGGGGTCTCTGGCAGACAGCAGCGTGCCATTAAAAATTGACTCGCGTGCCGTGTTTGGCATGCGTGCCATAGGTTGCCAACCCCTGATCTAGACTGTTCTCAGTGGTAGCAGATGACAGAGCAAGGAGTAATGGTCTCAAGTTGCAGTGCGGGAGGTTTAGGTTGGATATTAGGAACAACTTTTTCACTAGGAGGGTGGTGAAGCACTGGAATGCATTACCTAGGGAGATGGTGGAATCTCCTTCCTTAGAAGTTTTTAAGGTCAGGCTTGACAAAGCCCTGGCTGGGATGATTTAGTTGGGGATTGGTCCTGCTTTGGGCAGGGAGTTGGACTAGATGACCTCCTGAGGTCCCTTCCAACCCTGATATTCTATGTTTCTATGATTAACCTATAGTTTATGAAAGTCATTGGGGAGTTCCAAATGTCTGTTATTTTGTCTTAGAAACAAGACAATAATTTTCTTTTAAGTTTTAACTTAAATGCCTGCATTTTTAGAGATATCTAGAGATGGCAAATGAGATCAGAGCCCCTTTGGGTTAGGCAGCGTGAAAACACATGGAGAGACACAGACCCCCACCCCAAAGAGTTTGCAATCGTAAGAGAAAAGGCAACCAAAGGATGGGGCAGGAAAGAAATGCTCCAAGAGGTGAATTGTCCACAGCATGCAATAGGTAGCAGCAGAGCCAGGAAGAGATCCCAGGTCATTTACGTCCCAATTCAGTGCACCATCCATTTTTCTTAGGTACTTACAACGCCCCTGTGACTGGGCATGCCTCTGTGGTATGCCCTCGCGGCCCACCAGGGCATGACTCACCCAGCCCCAGGTCTTTGCAGGCCAGCTGTCCTTCCAGCTAAGGCGCACTTCAGACCTACCCCTTTCAGGCTGTTGAGGTCCAAAAGAAATCAGGAACAAGAAACCACAGCTCTAAACAGGGTTTCCTGATGTATGTTCAGTGGGACCCTCCCTTCTATTCAGGGCTTGTCTTCAAACAGTCCATACTTCAGTTGATCTGACAGGGTCTGGTCGTCCCTTCTAAGGGGGCTTGTCTGACCGACAAGCTAGCTCAGTCTCTGGGCTGCAGCCAGGCTTCTCACATCAGGAGAAGCAGATTTGATGGAGTTAGTTCTCCTCCTTTTAACTCCCCTCTTCATGCTTCACATCTGCTGCCAGTGTAGTAGGATGGGGCTCATTGGCTCCTCCGGCTCTCTTTAACCCTTTCGTTGCCAGTGTGGGGCCTATCTGCCCCATCACAGCCCCCCCCCCCCGCCCTATCACTGTAATAGCTGAGCACCTAACTATATCTCATGTGTTTATCCTCACAACACTCCTGTGAGGTAGGGAAGTCTATTATCCTCATTGTATAGATGGGAAGCTGTACTAGATTCCAAATATTTTTCAAAGTTTACCAAATACCTGACATTTCTAATTGATTCCACCACACACTATCATTTGTACCCCTTACCAGTCCTCTCTGGCTTTAGGTTCCCCTATGACACACAGTGCACCACTATGATTAGTTAAATGATAGTGGTACCTCAAAGCCCCAGTCAGGACTGGTACTAGGCACCATACAGACACAGAGCAAAAGGACAGTCCCTGGCTCAAGCAGTTTACAATCTACAACTTTTGTAAGCGCCAGTAAAAACTAGACGGTTCTATGGGCCTGACTCTGCAGTCCCTAAGTCAGCAAAGCCCCTGCTGACGTAAATAAGAGAACCTGATTGGGTCTTGAAATCTAGGTAGTATGGATTCAGGCCATAGGCCTTATTTCTTCCTTTATGAATCCTTCCCCTCTTTTTTCACATACCTATGATTTACCAGACTGTTAGCCACCAGACTAGTAGGCATAAACTGAGCTTCCTTTATAACCTAGATAAGGCCACTATTGATAAGCCAGAAAGTTATTGTTAAGAGGCACATTAAGTTTTTTCCCAGAAGCTGTACAACATTCACTCCTTTTTCAGCTAACATTGGTTTAGGGATCATGTATATTAAAGGCTGCATCATAACCCATAAGCATGAATGGTCAGAATTAAAGTTACAAGAGCAACATTAGCTTTGCCATTTTCTGGTTTTTGAGTGCTTAAAGACAGAACCTTAAAGTGTAGTTTGACTATAAAAATGACTATGGAGAAATGGTCTCTTCTTAATAGATCTGACTCCAAACACACACAGAGAGCAGATCTTCTGTCTGTAATGACCAACCCATTTTTTACTCCGTTAAGTCCTCTAGAGTGAACACAACTAAGATAGTGCACTGCAGAGTCTTGGGCAGCACCAACAGAGAGATGTAATAAGATCCAAGCGGTAACTCCACAGCAAATCCACTGAAGACAATGTGGTGGCGCAGATATCAGCGAATAATCTAGTTCACACAGGTGAAACTGAGATTTCTGCTCAGTTTTTACTCACCTTCTCATTGAAGCTGATAGGAATTTGCCTGAATAAGGAGTGAGTGAGAACTAAGGATTCACCCCATAGGACTGGTACAGAAGTCCTTTGATAAATGGTAAGAAAAAAAGTGTTTCCGGGTCTGTATATGTGATCTTACAGTTTAATCCTCTAATCCTTTGGTACAAAGAGTGTTAGTCCAGGCTACTAGATTGTCCACTTCACTCTCCCACGGCTCTTCCTCTTTGCTGAGGGGTCTCTTTTCACCTGCTGCTTGACTTTCTGGTTCTGGACCAGTCACATGGATGGTTTGAAATATCCATAGAAGAACAGATTAATAAAGAGAAAGGAGACAACAGGTAAGTATAAATAAGCTTTCCAAAACAAGCCACAGTCACATTTTTCATTTTTAAAATGCAGATCTTAATTTGCTCTGATTTCTGGATCCATATCTCCTAGGCATATACAGCGACTGTACATATGTATATACACATAGTATACATCACATATATCTATGTGAAAAAATTGCAAAATCATGTGACAAACCACAATTATCATACAGCTCTGTCTGCCTCTCCTTAACTCTGACCACTATCCCATCTAAACGGGGACTACTTCTAATATCACAAACTGCTTTAATCAACTGCCATAGAATTAGAACGAAAACCCCAACCTATCAAATGTGGAGTTTCTCCCCCATCTTACACTGGGACTCAGGCTCAGGACAAGGCAATGTTCTGTCTTGGACCCGTGACAAGTTCTTTCTGCCATTCACACCACCACACTCATGGTATTAAAGACTGTGTCAGTAGGGCTCTTTTGACTCCCACATGTAACAGCTATGGTTCAGCTCTCCACATCATCATTAAGAGCCAGCCCTGTATCTTGTACTAGTGAAAATGTGACCTAATTCCTGATCCTAGAAATGTAGAGTCTGATTCTCCTCTCTTTTACACAGGTGAAAGTTCACTCACTTCAGTGGAGTTACTCCTACTTTTCACTGGAGCAAGTCAGGAGAATCAGGCCTGTAAACTTGATTCTCATCTGGAGCCTGATCCATTGAAGTGAATGGAAAGATTCCCATTGTCTTCAGTGGGTTTGGATCAGGTGCCTGGTCAGCTGTCACTGAAGGGCGGAAGTTCATATGCAAGTTCCATTTATGCTTTGGTCAACAGAGAATAAAAACTGCAACCCGTACAAGGGCATAGGAGATTTGAATCCAGGCATATACTGATAGACTCAATTTCTGCCCTTGAGTCTGATACTGCTCCATCAATGTCAACTGGAGTTTTACCCTCAACAGAAGCAGGATTGGATCCATCATGCCAACACTCTTCAGGCCTGATTCAAATTTCACATTGGTTTTAAAATACAATGGAGCTAATTCTGATTTACACCAGTGTAAGTGAACAGTAAATCAGGTTCTATGTGCACATATCAGAAACATTACATTGTATGGTACTGATTCTTTACCTGGAGTTTGGTAAAGCAGGTTGTTGTCCTGTTCCATTTTCCTAATTTCTATCAGTTTCTCATCTATTGTTTGCTGCCTCTGCTTTCTGATGAGTTGAGAGACAATAGCATTGTATCTGTAAGCAGAAACAGAAGTAAATTAATGGATACTATCAAACATAAATTTGGTTAAACCTAACTTAAATAGGGCCCAAATCAACAGAACACTTAAGCATGTGCTCAACTTCAAACGTGCTTAATCCCATTCCTAGTCAGCAAAGCACTAAGCTGTAATAAACAAGAACCTGAAAGTGACACTGATTATCGGTATGGTTCTGTAACTCTGGCCTTAATCCAGCAAAGCACTTAAGCACATGCATAATTTTAAACATGTGAGTAGTTCCACTAAAGTCAATGGGATTACTCGCATAATTAAAGTTAACCATGTGCTTAAGTGCTTTGCTGGATCAGGGCCTGAGTGTTTGGCACTTTGCAGAATTGAGCCTTATAGACGTATGTAAAACTGAGAGCTTGTCTACACTGGTCAGGTAATGCACTCTATGGGGGTGTGTGATTTCTAAAGCATACTAACAGGTTGTGCATTAATTGGTCCATGTAGACCAGCTGGTGTGCACTGAGGTGTTACCTGTGAAACAAGTACAAAAACATGTGAATTTCTAGCACATGGTATAATTTTTAAGCTGACAATGTCCCTTTCAGCCTTCTCATTCAAAAAATTTGCCTGCCATTTTAAACAGGTTACATTTGGAGACAGAAAGCACAAAGCAATGGATTGAAAAGATAAAAGGATGTCAAATGAATTAAGTGCAACTCTAAAAAGTAATTGTTTCTGTTTCTTACTGGAACAGAATACACCACTGTATTCAAACCCTGCAAACTATTGTAATAATCTTTGTACAAAGTCTGCTTTGCAGTATATCATCTGAAAACTCATAATTTGCTGGTCAGTATTGTCCTGATAAAATGTGTGTGACAACATTGTATGTGAAGTTATAAGATTCCCCTGTATGGTGTTAACACATGTTCCAAACACCACACCACTGCCCAAACAGAAGTTGGCAAACAGGTATGTCCTAAACAAAGGAATGTATGCTCTGCTTAATTTGCATTTAAGTAGTAACAGAATCATCAAGCAGGAAGGAAAACAAAGAAAGTTCCAACAGATGGAAAAAAACAGGAAGAAATATCCTTCCACATAGACTCTTTGGCTCCTGGGTCTCAACTGGAAATGTTTTTCAAGAGGGGACTGAAACTATAAAAGGAGGGACCACCCCCCATCCCCACCCCGGCACCTTATTCTCTCTCCCTTCCTATCGCATTCACTGCGCCTGAAGAGACAAAGGAAGCAGCCATGGGACTCTGGGGAAGGGGTCCTGACCTGAGAGTTTGATCAGTAATCTGCTGAAGCATGTGGTGAGAAACTTTGCTTGAATCTTAGATAGTTTGTTAACTTAGGTGTTAGTAAATGTCTTCCCTTTATTTTCCTAGTAACCATTTCTGACTTTTATGCCTCATTACTTGTACTCATTTAAAATCTCTCTCTATTGTTAATAAATTTGTTTTACTGTTTTAGATAAAACAATCAGTTCAGGTTGAAGTTCCTGGGTAACTCCATTTGGGGTAACAAGTTGTGTGCATATTATTCCCTTAAAGGAATAACGGACTCAGTATATTTGCACTGCCCAGGAGAGGGCGGGGGAGTACAAGATGTGTTTCTGGGGGAAAATCTGAGACTGGGAGTGTGTTGGGGCTGGTGTTCTTTAAGGCTGGTAAGAGCCAAGGTGTGGCTAGCTGGCTGCAGCACACACACAGACATAGCTGGGAGTGACTTACGTGCTGGAGGCTGTTAGCGTGAGCCACAAAGCATTGTACAGGGCACCCCAGGTTACACGGCAGGGGTGGCACAGCTACTCATTAATCTGGATTGTACCCTGGTACGTCACACTTACACTTACGTTCTGCCTCAAAGATTCGTTTACTATTGTTAATGTCTCAGACTCCTCCCCACTTTCTGTCTGCACCATTAGAATATAACTAAGTGTGTGAGGGAAGACTGTTGGAGTAATTAAATTCACAGTATGATGTACTTTAAAACATAGGCATAATAGGATGCCACTCCAATGGTTTTTTTAATGTCTTGTTATTTTCTCTTGGCTGGTAGATAATATTTGATATATTCATACCTTCCGGGACATTTTTGATCTCTTTGCATTGGGGAAAAGGCTATAGAATGGGTTGCTGTTAATGGGACTTTTAATTTATCTTTGATAAAATGAAATTGAAAGTTCAACTACATAAAGAGAACATTTGTTCAATGCATTCTCTTTCCAGCCAGAAGGTGGCAAACAAGGTTTTAGCTTTTGATAAATAAAATTGCACCACTGTTTTCAGGGGTAGGAAGAGTTAAAAAAAACGTAGAAGTGTATTCGCTTTATGTACTTTTTCTTTCGAAGTAACCCAGCAGTAGTGAATTTTAAAAAGGAAATGGTGCTCAGTTAGTCTACATGATTCGGATGCCTTTTCACATCAGAGGAGAAAAAATACAAAAGGATCAATCTTTACACATTCATTACCACATTAAGTCACTTAACCTCTCTGCTTCCTCAGTTTCCTCATGTACAAAATGAAGGTAATGGAGTTACCTGCCACACAGGGGAATTGTGCAGCTGCATTAATTAGTAAAGCACTTGAGATCCTCGGCTGAAAGCTTGTGCTCAAGTACTTTGCTGAACAAGTACTATAGCTGTGTGCTGGGGAACTTCTTTATTCCTTTTATTCTCATCTTCAGAAAACTTCACTCTGACATAAAACCTAACCATTAATTTTCAAGATCCTCCAACATTCCAGGCCTTTCCACGTGCCCTCCAGATACTAATTCTTTACTGTTCACCCATTTTGTCCCTGCACACTATCTTCTCCTTCTCCAACTATCAGAAGATTTATCCATCTGCCTGACTCTCTGGCTGCTTTCAATGCCATTTCAAGATCCATCTCTGCTTTCTGGCCCATGATTTTATAATTTCACTAAAATTATAAACAACATATCATGTACCTGGGTGTCCCTTGTGACCAACCATTCTCTCTGTATCTCTGCCCTATGGGTTGCTAACCCTCCAAGATTGTCCTGGAGCCTCCAGGAATTAAAGATTAATCTTTAATTAAAAAGTATATCATGTGATGAAACCTCCAGGAATTTATCTGACCAAAATTGGCAACTATCTCATCTAACGATGATGTGCCACATTCAGCTATTTGTTACTTCAGGGTAAATCATAGGCTCAGCAGAGTTAGTCCAGATTTTTACTGGTGTAACTGAGAGCTGAATTTGACTCAACACTAATTACATACATACTAGTGTAGTAAGTGAATGTACATAATCAGCTGTGAAACATCTTGTAATCCTTTTATATGAATAGTGTTATACAAAAGCAAACTGTGTTGCAATCCATTTTATGTTTCATGAATGAGTTACAACTTTAATAAGAAAATGTCAACTATATTATTATATAGCCAACAATTAAGGTTGTTTCTGCACTGATGTCAGAAAATTTGGCCTCTTACTTCCCTACTCAATGCTACGAGTGAAGGACGTATTGCAAGCTTTAAAGCATGAACATGTTTTGTGAGCTGTTTGCAATTGGGGAAAGAATACCAAAATACTGTTTGAACCTGGTTCCGGGCATTTGAACCTGCCTTTGATTAATCAAACCCAGAAGTTCAAAAAGAGAAAAAAACCTGTTAAAAGTACATGGTCTCCTACCACCAGAGGGCAGTGAGATGTGGCTATTTCAAACCAATAGGTTCCCTCCTCTACCCACTCCCCCCCCCCCACCCCAGAAAAACCACACAGTAATTTCCTTTCCAGCTCCAATGAAACTAACATGAAAAATGTGCTATGCTTGACAGTGAAAGACAGCTTTCCGAAACAACTCCTGACTGTTGAGCCATATGCAAAAATGGACAGATGAGTTTAAAAGGACAAGTTCCTGGTTTTTCTGAATATTTTCTTGGGTCATGTAGGATGCTTTGGCACTACATAATGAAACAATTATCAAACATAGAAAACAAAGGAGTTCTGTTGAAGGAAATAAAACAAGGAAGTCATGTCCAAGGAAAATTAACCTTATATTTTAGAGGTTTCTTCAGAAAGAAAAATAAGCTTTCAATTTGGGTTAAGAACTTGCTGTCCTTCAAATTCAACCTGAAATTACCCATTCATTTTCTTCCAATTCATGCTGAAGGCAAATAGGATTTGAACGGTAAAAGCGGTTCCTAACTTTTTGGCCTGTTGTAAAGGTTCAGCAGCAATAAAAAGGAGTGAGAAAGTCCAGTTTGATCTGAAAGATTACAGGGCAGCACAATGACCTTGCATTTTGCTTTGCCTTTTCCTTACAAACGCTGCTGGGAAACAGGGCTTCGGTCACAGGGGAACTTAGAGTGAAATGAGAGTAGGCACTCAAAATGTAAGGGCCTTGGTCCAGATCCTCAGCTGACTTTACGTGCCTGAGCTGTGTTTGGCAGGGTGGAAGGAAGCGGTGGAGAACCTGTGGGAGTCCCAGAGTCATTCTGGTGCTCAAGAGGCTCACTTTACTGCTGGTCCATAAAAAAGCAGCAGGCATCCATTCTAGTAGAGCCCTGTCCTAGAACTTTCTCGGGCACTACTCGGTGGGAATCCTACACTGCTTCTGTTCCCAGTGCCCTCTACCCTCAGACCATCCACACAAAAACAAAACACAAACAAAAGCACTACAGTTCAAATGTTGCCATTGCATATGCAAAGACCTGGGCCTAAATGTATAACAATTTAAGCTCAGTAGATTTAAGACACTTACGAATTCTCATCCCATTCTCCTGTTTCTTTCACATTTTTTGCCTTCCAGCCATAACAATTCCCTATAAATGCTGGATCTTCAAACACTATAATGGCATAATTACAGAAAGTTACAGTTAGAGAAAAAGATGCACCGGTCATCACATTCCCCAAAGAAATAGTAAATATCAGATTAGTACAAGTATATGTGTCACTTAGAGAAGTTTATAGCAGAATCCTGCACTATTAAAGTCAATGAGAGTCAATGGAATCAGGACTTAAACCACTAACAATTCTGACCTCAGTTAAAATGGGGTAAATTTGAAGTAATTCCATGAAACTCAGTGGAGTTACTCCGATAAACACTAGTGTAATTGAGAGCAAATTTTGATCTCTTGTCTTAGGTGGATAGCAACACTATATGTGCATTTTTAAAGTATTACAAATAAAACAACAAAATAGGACAAGAATTACAACTGAAATGCATGAACATAAAGTGGTGATTATATGATACACATTTCTTTTGAATAGAATATATAATAAATAACAATATAAACCTGATCCTGCAGACCGAAACTCCAATAAGTAATCCCCCTAAAATCCTATTAAAACACTGTCATGCATCCAAGTATGCTGGTAACTTAGTTAAAACAGACTCTGGTGGTGGAACACCGCATTATCATCAGAGCAATGTGTTGGCCATGGTCCACATCTGTTTTGTTTTGATCTTATCATCCTCCCAAACATTTTCCTACTCGTCATAATTGTACACACTTCACTAATGACTCCTTAATACGTTTTCTTCCGTACAAACCTAGGTTTCCAAACTTCCTAACAAGAACTTACTTAGATTGTAAATTCTTGGGGGCAGAGACCCTCTTTTTCTTCCATGTTTGTACATTGGACCTGCTGTGCTAGGCGGAATCCATGACTGGGACTCCTAGGACAATTCAACAATAAATAAGAATAAGGGCCTGATCTTCAACTGGTGTAAACTGACATAGCTCTACTGAAATCATTACAGCTATGTCAATTTACATCACCTGAGGATCTGACCCTAATTTGTGGATGCTTAAGATATTACAGCTTGATTCTGATCTCACCATCAGGAACAATGCCACTGAAGTCAACGTTGTACACAAGTGTAAATCCTGCAGGAGAGAAGAATCAGGGCCATTATGTTTAATTTTACTAAATCAGGCATATCATCTTACATGGGGCTTTAAAATGTTCTGCTGCTTTTGATGTGGCTATTCCTGACCACATCCTGTGGTAATCTTCAAACGAAATGGTTGTAATCCTTCTGAAAATATAAATGCATAGTAAAGTTTCTGGTGATCAGACAATTTGGTAGTAAACAAAGATTTTCATGTATAACCTTCCACAAAACAACAGAATGAATTAAAAGGGTTTTAAATTACTGCATTACTGGCTGCTTGCAAATGACAGAGAAATAGAGTCACTAGTGTGTAAAGCAGCCATCTTAAACAAGAGCAAACACTAATATTTTAAAGACGTTTTAGCTATGTTTACATGTTACGGGTTTATGAGACAACCAGATGGATTATTTTCATAGTCTGCCCCCCTCTCCCCCACAGCCCCTTCCAGGGATTAGATTAGCAGAAAAGAACCAATTTTCTGATTATTTATAAAGCAGATCTGGTTAAGGGAATATATAGCTAACAGGAATATATACCTTCTAAAATAGCTATCATAACTCACCAACAAACAACACAGGAGAGAGTTTTTTAAAATCCTCTTTATATGTTTTATGGCTATATCTTTAGTCTCAAAACTATTACACATATATTCAATATAAATGAAGCAAAGTTGCTATTTCAATATTGCATTTTCCAACTATTAATTGTGTTACTGTCTGGTTTATTCACACTCACACTTGACCAAATTCTCCTCCCAGTTAAACTTTGTGCTCACTCTAACTTGCACCAAGGCTAATACAGTCCCCAGCCAGCTTCACCCCCTCATCTATACCAAGGATTAAGCTCAAGAGGTGAAATCCTGGCCCCATTCAACTCAATGGGAGTTTTAGCATGGACTTCAATGGAGTCAGGATTTCACCCCAAATCTCTATACAGACTCTAGAATAAAGACAAGTGTAGGGTTTCATGGCCCAGCTGCCTCAGAAATAACGTGGCATAAAAAACATGAAAAGAAATTTTGAAAAAGAGAAATATACATCCTTTTTGCTGGTGACATATCTCAGAAACAGTACGTCAGACCACTTCATTCTGGCCCAAAAATCTGGTCAAAGACCATTTATACTAGACATCAACTACAGAGGTTTCACATGAGGCATATAGAAGAGGGGGTTAAGGCCAAAAAATAGAAAAAGAAAAGTTGGTTGCGACCTTATACGAATATATCTTCACAATACATTATTTTGTTCAAAATTAGGAATATCAATTAGCCTTTTGAAACGTATTATCTCTCTTGCCATTACATGTTTAAGCACAATTGTTTGGGTAGCTAAGTAAACTCATTTTAACATGGTGGAGGTGATTTTCCCTAGATTATTAGCTCTGTGGGGCAGGGACTGTCTTTTTTGTTCTACCTCTATACCACACCTACCACATTAGGGTCTTGGTCCAGGAGTGGGGCTTGCAGATGCTACCACAATCCTACTACTACTACTAGCTTTCAGACACTACCTCTGCCCCCATTGAAATCAGTGGAGTTGTGTTAGGGCTTGTCTACATGTTGCTTTAGTCTGCACCTGAGGGGTGTAAATTTTAGTTCACACTATGTGTCATGCACTAACTGGCCTATGTGGACCATGCTGGCATGTGCTATCTTCGGGGTAGCACTCCCCCCACCGAACCGACGGGGCCGCAACCCCCAAGCTACTTTACCAGCTATCAAAACCCCAAGTACAAATATACCCTTACCTTGGAGCCCCCACCACCACAATGTTCGGGGTTTGTTTCCCCCAAAATACTCCCCAAACCTGACCACTTCGGACAAGGTTTGGTAAAAGCCTCACCAATTTGCCTATGACTACAGACCCAGCCCTTGGATCTAAGAACAGAACAATCCCCCAACATTGCACCCCCCCTCTCCGGGAAGTTGGATAAAGCCCCCAATTTGCAAGTGCACAGCCCAAACCTGGATCGAGAACAATGAAAACCGTTAAATTTAAAAACATAAAAGAAAAACCCCCGTAAACAGTAGCTTACAGGGTAATAGTAAATAGAACCCCACAACCAAGTTACAAAGTACACAACAATAGTTTTCTATTCAGCACTCTCCCCTAAATTAATCAACTACCAGCTATACTTACTAAAAGTTCAACTCCTTCTGTTCTGCCGGCAGCAGCCACACAGACCAAACCCTTGTTTGTCCCCCCCGCTTTGAAGTTCTTGTCTCCTCTTGGTCTTTTGGTCGGTGCCACGATTACCTTAGCCTTAACCCTTACAGGTGAGAGGACTTTCCCTGCCAGGAGGGTTTCAAGGGTTTCCCTTCCCATATTTACCCCCCAAATCTCAGCAGGTGAAACACGGCTGGGTTTCTTCCTGGAGCTCTAGGAAACGAGTTAATAAGCACAGCACTCTAAATATACTACCAAGTACATAAAGACTAACAAATTTTCCACATCCAGGCTTTTACCAGTTGATTCTGGAAATTTCACGAAGTGCATCAGCCACTTTGTTAGAAGCTCCTGAGTTGTTGTGAAATCAAACTTGGAGAGCTAAACCCACGAAGAGTTTTTGTTAGTTTCTTTGACGGTGTGAAGCCACTTTAGTGAGCATGGTGGTTTGCATGGAAACCCGTCCCCAAACATATGGGTAGCTTTTCAGAGCGTAGAAATGGCATAACATTCTTTTTCAGTGATGACAGTTGCTTTCCCTCTCAGACAGTTTTTTGCTGAGAAACACACAGGGTGGAATTCTTGATCAGGTCCTTTCTGCATTAAAACTGCTCCCACACCAGCTCGGATGCATCTGTGGTTACTAGGAACGGTTTGTCAAAGTCTGGGGCCCTTAGTACAGGGTCAGACATGATGTCGCTTAGCTTGTTAAAGCCTTCTGACACTTTCGGTCCACTGAACAGCATTTGGCTGTTTCTTTTGGTTAGGTTGTCAGTGGGGCGTTTGGCTGTAGTCGGTACAAATCGTCTGTAATAACCCCAAGCCTAAGAAGGATTGAACCTGTTTCTTTGACTTTGGGACAGGCCACTTTTGGATAGCATCCACTTTGGCCTGTAGGGGGCGAAGTTCCTTGACCCACCTGGTGTCAAGGTAAGTCACTCTGTTTAGGCCTATTTGACACTTCTTAGCCTTAACAGTTAGTCCTGCCTCCCTTATTCAAGGACTTTTTGTAGATGTTCCAGGTGGTGCCCAGGAATCCAAAATAGGCCACGTCCAAGGTACGACGCATATTCTCCTAACCCCTAGACATCTACAAGTCTTTGGAAAGTGGTGCATTGCCCCGAAAGGGTACATTAAATTCATACAGCGAGGTGTGATGAAGTGACCTTTCCTTGGCAGATTCGTCTAGCGTACCCCAGTACCCGGTTAAGTCCAAGGTGAGTGAACTGGGCCCGTCCCAGTTTCTCTAATAGTTCATCTGTGCGTGGTATGGGATAGTTGTCTGGCAGTTACAGCTTTATCTTACGTAGTCCACCAAAACGTATTTCCCCATCTGGTTTGGGAACTAGAACCACTGGAGATGCCCATGCACTTTCAGAGGGCGATTACCCCATCTGTAACATATCCTGGATCTCCCGTTCTATAGAGTTTTAGCTTGAGGAGACACCGGTAAGGTTGGACCCTGATTGGGTGAGCATTACCTGTGTCAATGGAGTGGTATGCCCGTTCAGTCAGTCCTGGGGTGCAGAAGTTGGTACTAGTGCACAGCTCCTGGATCTGCTGTCGCTGCATACCCCAAGGGTCATGAAGTTCACCTCTTCACACCACCACACATTTCCTTCGTAGTAAACACCTTCAGGCCACTCAGCTCGTCTCCTCCTGGGCTGTAAACTGACAAACCTTTAATTCTCTGGAATAAAAGGGCTTTAGAGAATTAATATGGTACACCTTAGGCTTTCGGTTGGAGGTGGGGAACTATGAGATAATTAAAGCTCCCAGGGTCCTGGACCATGAATGGCCCTTCCCACGATGCTTCCATTTTATGGGCCTGGACGCCTTTAAGACATGACCTGGTCTCCTACTTTGAAGGAACGTCTCTGGCATGTTTATCATACCAGGCTTTTGCTCTTTTTGAGCATCCTGTAAGTTTTCTCTAGCAAGGGCTAAAGAGGTTCGGAGGGTGTTTTGTAGGTTGGTTACAAGTCCAATGTTAGTTCCTGAAGTGAAACCCTCCCATTGTGCTCACCAACTCAAGGCCCCTTAACTCACGCCATACAGTAGGAAACCCAACTGGGATGACAGTCTGTAGGCAAAGAGCACGGCAACCTAGGCCCAATCATTGGAGTGCTCATCATTTACGATCACCCCAAGTTCCTTAAACTCCCACCATGATTTGTTTGATGATAAGAGCACCAAGATTTACCCATAGCTTCCCAAAGGTTTCAAGTTCTCCAAATTAGTCCCTCATGTGAGGATGTGGAGGCACCTACCTCAAAATCGCTAGTGCCTACACACTTTTAGCCTGGTGTTGCTTAGAGCTATGCTTCGGCCATCGCAAAACCAGAAAGTCAGATGTATGCTTTCCTCTGGGTGTCTTTTTGGAAAGGACCAGATATCACAGCTACCGTAATGAATCAATGAGGGGAGTGGCGAGAGGCTGACCTGTCTTGGGGTTTTCCACTCTTTGACACCTCCAAGACGGACATAGGTAGAAACATCCTTGCCCATTCTCCCAGTGGAAACCCCCAAACTCTTTGGTCCTGTTCACCCCAGCATGGCCACTAGGGTGATCAGGGCTAAGCTCAAGAGCTTGCCGTATTTAGTTGGAATACCATGTTCTGAGGACAGTTTCGGTGTCCACCAAAAGAGTTTCCTTGTATAAAAGTCCTCTTTCTACACAACCGGATCGATAGAAGAGGAGAGGCGGTGGGTTGCTCCGTGCCCGCAAGCTCTCTGAGGCTTTCATTGTTCTGTTCGGTCTGATGTTCCCTTGATGCTGGAGAATAGTTCCTCATGGGATTGTGGACCTAGGCTTGGTCCCTCTGGAAGGAATAGGGGTGAGTGTTTCTGTTGACTGAACGCTCTCGCTGGTGCACTATGTTGGGATTCAGGCCCGCTAGCCTCTTGGGTCGGGTTATGTGCAGTTCAGGTTCGGTGGGCCCTCCGTTGTTGATCAAGACGATTAGGCGAAGGGGTTGGTGTTGGTTGTTCGTGGTTCGGTTCTGGGATGGTTCCGTCTGGGTTCTGGGACTGGATCCACTACTGGTTAGAATTGCTGGGGTCAGGTCATCACCTCTGACGTCCGAAGAAGTTTCCGAAAGAGCTAGCCTCAGTTGTTTAGCCTGGCGCGGTGACCATTCCACCCTCTTGCCTCTTCCATGACCAAGTCCCCCAACAACATGAGGATGGATAATCACATAGACCAAAGTCCAATTCCTGAAGCCCTTGTACGGACAGCAACTGGCTGTACAAATTGAAAGAGTTGGAGAAGGGTTGAACGTCACTTGGATTCTGGGTTGATAAATGGGTCCACTAAGGAAGCAGGATAGCTGACACTTGGCTCGTGTCCCTCCACGCGGTGACCTCCCGCAACTCAAGTTTCCTCCGCAAGTATTGAGGTATTGGGCTGTGGACTCTGGTGTGATTCGTGCAATGAAATAATCTGTTGGGGTTCTTGGGCAGTTGCCTTTACCAGTCGTACAAAAAACGCAGTATATGGGGTGAGGGTGTGAGAACGGGGGGTGGGAGATAAGGGGTCTAGGCTTTGGGAGGTAGGTGGGGCTTTGGGGCCCCGGTAATAGGGTGTGGTCTGGGGTGGTCCCTTCTGGTTCCCAACTAATTTTTTCTTTGCACTCACCCATTGCCAATTTCCTCTCAATTAAGTTTTTTCCCATCTAGGATGTATCTTTCTATTTCTCAACACTCTAAGAATTGTTCCATTTGCATTAGGAAGGAAATTACAGATTAAATTGCTCCTGATACACCAATTTTCAAATGTGGTAGCAGTCGGGTAAATGAAGTTGGTTTCCACCAGCTCTGAACCTCCGAAGATGGGGTGTTATCCCCATTCGATCTCTTGGATTTAAAAGTCATATTGTTCATGTGTTCTTTAGCATTTAGCTGACTCAGCTAAGGTCCACGAGTGGCCTCAGCTCTACCATGTATTGGTCAGAGATGTTGTACCAAGCGCCCTTTCGAAGTTTTCTAAGAAGGCCTCAGTATATACTGCCTTGTAGGTGGGGAACTTTCTGGGATGGAAGTGGTACCTGGAGAAGGATGAGGGTTTGTTGGATATTCTGTGGGCCTTTATCCTCTCCATTCCTCCAATGTTCCTCTCTTTTCCTCTCCTCCTCCAATGCTTCCTTGCTATTTTTGTTCCTTCTTCAGGCAAGTTCTACGCTTTCATGTTCCCTTTGCTTTCCTCAGCCTGAAATTTGGCTAATTCCAGCTGTAGTCGAGCTAGGATTTGGTCATTCTAACTCTCTGTTTTTAACTAACTTTACACGAGGTTTAGAAATAAAAAAAAACTTGGCTGTAAAATTTTGTGTGCTGAATAGAATACCTATTCTCTGATAGTGATTGTCAGCCTACAGAAAAGACAATTCCCTTGTTCGCTCTGCCCCAATTAAAGCAAAAAACCTCCAACTGCTTGGAAACCTGCTACCAGCCAAAGAAAAGAATGGGAAAAACACCCTATTTACTTTTAGGAGAAAAGAAAAAAAAATGGGTTGGAAGAGAATTTCCGCAGAGAACTGCCTCCAAAAAAACTGCAATCACAAGATAATCCCCTTTTGTTCTGCTTCCAAAGAGAAAAAAGCTGCTTTCAGTTTCAAAGCTGCTTTCTGGACTTTCTTTAAAGAAAAAAAATTTCCTTTTTAAAATCTGTATTTCTAGTTCAAAAATCTCAACTGGACTCAAATGATTTCAGGTTAATCCCACCACTGTGCCACCATGTCAATTCCTCCCCACTCTGAACTCTAGGGTACAGATGTGGGGACCTCATAAAAACCCCTAAGCTTATCTTTACCAGCTTAGCAAACTTCCCCAAGGTACAAAATATTACACCGTTATCCTTGGAATGGCCGCTACCACCACCAAACTAATACTGGTTACTGGGGAAGAGTGTTTGGAGTCTTTCCCCCAAAATACTTCCCCAAAACCTTGCACCCACTTCCTGGAAAGGTTTGGTAAAAAGCCTCCAATTTGCCTAGGTGACTACAGACCCAACCCTTGGATCTTAAGAAAATGAACAATCCTCCCAACACTTACCCCCTCTCCTGGGAAATGTTGGATAAAAGCCTCACCAATTTGCATAGGGACCCAGACCCAAACCCTTGGATCTGAGAAAATGAAAAAGCATTCAGTTTTTTAAAAGAAGACTTTTAATAAAAAATAGAGTAAATAGAAATAAAGAAATCCCCCTGTAAAATCAGGATGGTAGATATCTTACAGGGTAATTAGATTAAAACATAGAGAACCCCTCTAGGCAAAACCTTAAGTTACAAAAAAGTAACAGAAGAAATAGTTATTCTATTCAGACAATGCTTTTCAGATTTAAAGGAATCATAATCTAACAATACTAGCTAGATTACTTACTAAAAGTTCTAAGATCCATTTGTTCTGTTCTGGCAAGAGAAAAGAAGCACAAACCCTTTGTTTGTCTCCCTCCTCCCAGCTTTTGAAGTATCTTGTCTCCTCATTGGTCATTTTGGTCAGGTGCCAGCGAGGTTACCTTTAGCTTCTTAACCCTTTACAGGTGAGAGGAGTTTTCCCCTGGCCAGGAGGGATTTCAAAGGGGTTTACCCTTCCCTTTATATTTATGACAGCAACCTATGGCCCGCATGCCAAAGGCAGCACGCGAGCTGATTTTCAGTGGCACTCACACTGCCTGGGTCCTGGCCACCGGTCCGGGGGGTCCGGGGGGGGGGGGGGCTCTGCATTTTATTTTAATTTTAAATGAAGCTTCTTAAACATTTTAAAAACCCTATTTACTTTACATACAACAGTAGTTTAGTTATATGTTAAAGACTTATAGAAGGAGACCTTCTAAAAATGTTAAAATGTATCACTGGCGCGCGAAACCTTAAATTAGAGTGAATAAATGTAGACTCAGCCCATCACTTCTGAAAGGTTGCCGACCCTTGCACTAGATGATCCCTAGTACATGTTAATGTAGTCTCATTTCAAACAGTAACATGTTAACATGCAGTAGGGAACATCTAGTGTGTATCAGCAGAGTCCCCATAGGCCAGTTAGTGTGCAACATGCTAGTGTGGACTAAAATGTATACCCCTCTGGTGTTGACTAAAGCACAATGTAGACAAACCCTCCACGAGAGCAGTTAGGCCAACACTGAGTGCTTTTGAGAATCCGACCCGATGGCATCACCTTTTGGAATACATGGACGTGGAACACCACAAATTTATTGTCTTGCTTGGCTCTTCATTATGTACTGTATTGTCTTGTGCTAGGTGCTTTTGTTTCAATAAAGATACCTTTACAATTTAATCCTCAAAAAAGACAAATAAAACAAATCGGTCTATGTAATTCTATATAGTTTTATAGATAACAAGAGATAATTGTACGTGTGAACCAGGAAAACTGCTGCAATCCCATTGCTGTCAGACATTCAGGAGGCAATAGTGAAGTTCAGAGGGAGGAAACCAGCCCGTGAGAAAACATGGACCTTTGAGCTCAATGACCACCATTATTTTTATCTATCCACCATTATTTTTATCTATTCAGTGTCCTCCTGACATACCCTAGCCTTTGAAGTCCTGTAAAATGTCAAAAGCAGCTCTTCAGATGTGTTTTGCTTTTACCAATATTTAAAGCTATATCCTGAAAAGGAAATGATTCCATTATGGAGCCTGACACTTAATTCCTTCCATTCCAGACCCAGAACTTTCACTTCAGTCAGTGGAAGCCCTGGGTGTCCAAAGAAGGTGGGATTGATCCATAATACGTTGGTGACAAACTAATACTCTTCATTCTTTTTGTAATGGTTCTGATTCTGTATCCTCTGAAGTTCATGCAAAACTTAATGATCCCACTTCCATTGGAGTTAACAGCAAAACTTCCACTGATAACTTCAGAAGGAGCAACATCAGGTTGAGAGCGTATTAAGAGCTATATCCCAAAAAGAGCAATTATTTTCTTTTTCCCGTTAGTGGATATTCCCAATTATTTAACTTTCTTATGGAAACATCTGGCAAGCGGTTGCCTTCACAGTTATTGCCAGTAAGTCTTATGTCCAACTGAAATGAGTTCCTTACCTACCGGCGTATAGCCAGGAATTGTGTCATTGTTGGGCCAAGTGATATTTTGGTTGGACCTAGTCAATGACATTTATTCCAGGAGATTATACATATTTTAGGTTATTTATTATTTTAATAGTATAGGGAAACCAATAAACTCTTTCTAGAATACACAAGACTGTTTTTATTTTGCATTTATTTCTATAGTGCTAGAGTTGTGCATGACGTTACTACTGAAATAATTCTCAGGTTAAATTTCAAGCTAACATACAGGGCCCGGTTCTCTTCCTAATTCAGGTCCCTTTGCACCACTCCAGAATCTGACTGTATCTGGTCACCTGTGAATTCCCTTAGTGTTAGGGTTTGAAGCTAGTGTATTGAGTTCCTACCCCATCCCTATCTCCAGGAACTAGCATTTAGGGTGAGTCTAGCACAATAGGGGTGAAATCCTGGCCCTACTAAAGTCACATGCAAAACTCTCATTGGCTTCAGTGGGGCCAAGATTACTTAGTTCATCATAACTTGTTACCTGACATGGCCCCGAGAAGATGCTTCAGATGGCAAGTAATACTTTGGAGAAGAAGCACAAACTTTCCCAGTGCTAGAAAGGTCTGCAAAGGAGAAGATGAACATTTAAAAAAAAAAAAACTTTATGACTCAGATCCTGTAAATTGGTTCAGTTCCACTGACTTCAATGGAGCTATGTTGATTTATATCAGATAAAGATTCCGCCCCAGTACTCATACAATTAACAACCCATCACATCTGCACTATGGTATAGATACCGGGTTTGATTCCCCTCTGCATGTGCACCACTCCTCCTGTCCCTTTCATTAATAACATCAGCCAAAAGGAGTGCAGCCGTCCCACCCAGTACTCCGGAGGTTTGGGTAGGCAGCTGGCACAGCAGCAGATTCTGATGACTTTGTGCCAGCAGGAAGGTCCTTTGCAACAGGCAAATTCTCCTCTAGGAACCAACCCATTATTGCCAGAATACAGCCACTTTGTGGCACCTGAGTGGCATGAAGTGGTCAGAGTGGGCTGGAATTTGGCTCATTGAGAGCAAGTACAGCCACAGTACTAACCTTTCATATCTGCCACTTGCTCTGCTTGCTCCAATAACATGAAATACACTGACCCAAATTCTGCCCCAATTTATACCCTAGTTGTAGCTGCTTTTTCAGGGTAGTCATTGTATAGCATAACCATAGCACACTGAAGATTTACAAGGCAAGTACAATTCATATTAGGCAGGCAAGTCATGGAAAGGATAGCAGTATTTCTGCTCTCTGGCTCCCGGATTCATCTAACACCCTTCCTCTTACTTACTTTTCCTGCAACAGATCTGACATTCCCTAATATCATTATGTAAATTATACTGGTTCTCACTCACCAACATGTAATTTATAGGGCCACTTACATTCGCTCTGAATTTGGCCCAGCATATTCCCTTTCAAAACACTAACTGGTGTTTGTTGACATTAAATTACCAGTCATACTAGTATAAATTTACTGTTGTGCATACAATAAACTGTTTTTTAAAGAAGGAGTTTTAAAAGAAACAAGACTATATTTATGGGTAATAACAAAACAAGTACAGTATTACCTTCTAGGTGCTGGCTAGTTCTAACACATTGTATAACCATTTGTCTGTACAAGGATATGTTGTTTTTCAGCATTTCTGCTGCTTCCACATTCACTGCATTTTCCAGTTCTGGATTAGAAAGCATGACCTGTATAAAGGTATAAACATGCACACACACACACCCCCACATACAGAGAGAGAGAGAGAGAGAGAGAGAGAGAGTACATATTGGTCTCTAAAACATCTATTCTTCTCAGAACACATAATCCATCAAAACTGTTGATTTCATAGTTTTACAATGAATTAATAACAATCATACTGGTATGTTAAATTCAAAGCAAAAACGAGGCTGCTTTGTGCTTTTTACGATTGAGATTGGGCCCTTCATTTTGATTTCCTTAAAAAAGGGCTACATGGTCATAACCTATGCTCCCTTCTTCCTGTTTTCTCTCAGGTTTTTGTGTAATTCCAAGCAGACAGCCATGAATGATACATGACTGCCATTTGTTTTACTCATAACCAATACTAGGGTGTCCACAAAAATCACGCATACATCTGGGGGCCATTTTCAGTCATGAGTGGAGGGCAGGATATCCTTCATAGTGATGGGAAAGACATTAAAAAGGGATATGCTCCAAGGAGAAAGCTGTATGAATTTTTTTCTTGGAAGAAAAGGCAGTAAATTTGAAACACTGAGGCCTGTGTGTTAAAAATGAAGGTAGCTGCTTTGAGTTACTCACGAATCTCAAGACCTATGTCAACACTCGTGATCAAGACTTTGACCATGAGATAATTCAGGAATTTAAAAGTAGAGCTATCAGCATTTTAAAAGTATTTTTTAAAGTACAGCGAATCAGGCAGAGTACACATGTCTTGAGCAGTGGCTTACTCAAGATAAGAAAGCATAAATCCAAAAGATCAAAGTAGCTACTGGTCAAAAATATTTAGCACTGGCAACAGCTTCAATCATACTCATTCATTTATCTATCTGTCTGTCTTACTCAGAAGTAATGTGCTGCCAAATAAGACACCAGGGAACAAATTCAGAAGTAAAAATAAAGTAAACATTAAAAAAAAGATGTTCCACAGAATATATTTGCTGTGGCTCTGAAGTTATCCAGCCATTTGCATTTTTAATTTTAAACCAAATGAATAATCCTACATCCCACAATCAGTCTGCATGTTTGAAATCCCTACTATATAAGTAAAGTACATTTTAGTATTTTCTTTTATGAAAGAGATTTAAAGTCAGTAGTTTACAATACCCTTTTCTTACCTGGACAGCGAGTAAAATGCTACTCATCGTTAACTTTCCATTCCACTCTTTAGGGTTTTCTAGAAAATCTATACAAGGTCTCCCCGAGTGCTGATCCACTGTGTTGAAAAAAAAACAGTTGTGTAACTTCAAAAGAGTTCAGCAATATGGCTGTTGTATGCTAGAGGAACGAGGGAGAGTTACTGTTTTATTTATAGCTTTAAATTACTCAGACTACCCAGGTGTTGCACAGGGCAAATCAAGGTAACCGGATGTTCCTATCATTGTCACACTTGTCCTCCCTTCCACACTCCCTCTGATTGTTCAGTTAGATTACACTCTTACTTTGTTTTTGTATGGTGTCTGTACAACAGGGCCAAAGCCCTGAGTTGAGCCTTTGGCATAGCTGCAATTCACGTACCAAACAATAATACAGATTTACATTGATCATCATAGCTATTTGCTTTCTATTTCTGAAGTGCACTGAATCACCAAAGTATCAAACTGTGGGCTAAACTCTCTTGAGTAGCACCAATGTATCCTTTCACTGGGGATTCAAAGGTATCATTGAGGCTAGTATTTGGCCCCTAATTTGTAAAGTGTATGAGTTTCCAGGACTAAAGCTGGCCACAAAAAATTCTGTCTGTCAAAGTTTATTATTGAAATAACATAAAAAAGTATGTTAAAAGAACATTTACATTGCAAAGTCAAGTATTCAAAAATTAGGAAATGCCAGATGTATGGTTACCTGTGCAATCTTAAGGGCTTATCTACATGGGAAAGTTTTTCCTGTACAATTTCAGTCTTTTTGGCACACACTGCCACAAGTCCACATAGAAAAATTCTAGTTTTGATTTATCTGGCATTTTATCCCATTTTCCTTAATCTGTTTTGAAAGCAGGATAACTATTTCAGAATGAGTTATACTAGTATAAGCTTTGTGTGGACACATCTCGATTCTGCATAAACCCACCACTTCTGGCAGTCCTCTCACTGCCATCCCAAACTGCACTGCTTCACATCTGTTTACCAGTGTGTCCTCTACTGCTTCAGGGCTTAGCTTGACCGGACGTCACCTCTTTTTAAATGCTGGCACACACCTGGATACACCCCTTTACAATTTCAGCTTGTAGCAAGTTCACACACCCAGAGTCACATATCCATTATGGCAGCCATACATTGTGCTTCTGAGTGGGCCTGTCTAGAAGTCCTGGATCTCCTTGCCCTGTGGGGACAGGGACATGTCCAGTCCATTTTAACAGCAGTCACTGTTTTACACTGATTTACAAGTGGCCATCGGAGCAAGAGTGAGAGAAGGGGCACTCACAGGACAAAGCCCAGTGTTGTGCTAAAGCAAAGGAGCTGCAGCAGAGTTACTACACCGCTAGGGACACAAACAGGACCTCTGGTAGTGCTCTCGGTACCTGCCCTTCCTATGAGGAGCTGTACTAGATTTTTGATGAGGACACTACCTGTGAATCCCATCATAGGGTTCTGGACAGTTTGACCAAGGCATCGGAAGGTGTTAAAATGACCACAAACCCATCCAGGAGGCTATTCCCCTAGGCAGCCAAGATCTCTTTGGTACACCAAATCCGAAGGCAGAGAGCACCAGAGATGCCCCCAAAACCCAGATGAAGAGCCAGCTTGTCAGTGCTGTGGAGGGGACCTCTTCTGGTCAGAGTGATGTGCTGTATTACAATAAAACTGTATAGGGGAATTTAAACAACTTTGTTCCAGGTACTGGCTGGGCGCTGTAATGCTTGGCAAATGTGAGCTATGATACTATATGTCTGCTCAGCTTTTATTAACACAGCCTTTGGCTATGTAGACTTCTTTCTTGCATTTCACTTTGTGCAGGATGGGAAGTTATGCAGGACACAGGGGAAGAGGGAGCTCCTGCTGCAGTAGCAGACACTCTCTAGGAAGGGACATGTGCTTTCGTTGTCCCTAAGGGCATGCTGAGCCCAGAGACAGCCCAGTTTTCAAACAGATGAGTCTTAATAAGACCCAGATCCTGCATTTAATCAATGAATCCTGCATTTGGGCATTGAGGCATGAAAATGGAGATTTATGCACCTGTGGGACAACCTGAGCATTCAAATGCATGGTTTAGACATGGTTTATGAATTCCCTGCCTGAAAATTGCACAGAGTTGTTGGGAGGGGTTGAACAAAGTTTCTGTTGGAACAACGATAGTACAGGAAATAAAAGTCAAGCTAAACAAGTAGCTGAAATATCTAACTACATGATCAGACAATTTCTCACGTGGTCCTTACCATTGGGATGGAATGGAATGGTGTTGAACATAACAGTTGGAGGGACACTATTGTACTCTTCAGTGTACTTTATTGACAGCTGGAGAACAGCCCCTATTATGAGAAAGAGATTGGTATTAACTAATGTACTATCTTGTATTTAACAAGCACACCTGTGTTGCATTTGTCCAATGAAGGCTTTGCTATTATAGGTTTTTTGTTTTGTTGTTGAAAGTTGTGTTCCTTGTGCTAATGTTAACAAGCTCTGGAAAACAACAGGTGAAGCAGGATGCTTCACATTAGATGAAAATGCTTATTTAAACTATCTCTAATAATACATATACTTACTGGATTGCTGAGTTATCGTCATCAGTTGAACTTAGTGCCATTGAAGAGTGTCAGATGAACAGGTCTGGAAGCTGAAATCAATTCACAGAACAGGTACTCGATGTGCCAAGGCACAGCAGGGCTGGAGTAAGGCAGAAACACTCTAAACCTACGCCTACGGTCCCAGTTCCTGGACTTACGGGATTACATTCTGGATTCAGCTTTCATTTGTTAAAAAAGTAAGTTTCTACTCTTCGAAGGGTTGCAAAGAAACCCTTGAAAACATGACCTGACTGTAACCGCTGCAGACAGCCTGAGAAGTGGAAACTGCTTGATGCATCTCGAGATGGAGTCACTGAGTTCTGGGGATACCCTGCTACCATTAATAAGTGTGAGGGCCCCTGATGCTTCTCCTGGGGAGAAAAGGGCGTTTCATATCCCTTCTTTGATCTCTCAAGGTCGGGGGAAGGGTCATGGTATGGGGGCCAGACTGTGGGAATGAAGCCACAGGGAGCCCCATGTCATGGTGTGCCTAGGGCTCATGATTGCCTCAATCCAGTCCTGACACAGGGTAAGCTTCCCCACACTACCACATAAGTGTACCTCAGTGTTGTCTTGTAAGGACCATAGTTAGGGATGAGTGAGGAGGTTAGACTCCTTCTTTATTCTGGGCTCTATTTTGTAAGGTGCTGAACACCCCTGTAAAATAGCACTGTTCAGTAGCTCAGCATCTTGCAAGCCTGAACCCTCTATCAACAGCCTTAAGAAGGAAGTCAGTTAGGACCAAAAACAGTAGGGTTTTTTGTTTCTTTTTTTTTTTTAAATGTGGACAGGTTGTTTAATAGGATGGGACTGTGGCCACCAAACTGCTGTCAGAGGGTAACAACTTTCAGTCACTACTTACTCTACCTGTGATGAGTAAGAGTCAACCATCTACAGACAAAGTGGTTATTAGTGATTTCCTGAGACACAGATCTCTTGGCTGGGATTTGAAATTCAGTGCCTCCTATGAAAATTCCACCCCTTATTTTGTAAAATATTCACCTAGTTGTACATTGAATAACAACAAACATAATTTACAAAGTGTTAATGTAGTCATGGAGGGGTACTAAAAACAAATGTGCAGCTAATAATGAAAAGCCAGTCAAGTTCTGTATGCTTTCTTAAAACTGTTCGCATTATCAATTTTTTAAAATAGCCATAAGGATAGACATAACATTACACAAACACTTATAAAATCACATGGTATGGTAAAATCTTTATATGTTACCTTCCCAGAGAGAATCCTTGAGTCCCTGGACTTCGGCTAGCCATTCTAGCAAATTATCCTTTATAGGAGTGACAAAGATGCCCTAAAACAAAGGTACAAAAAGAAGATAAAGTGTGGAACGTGATGAACTTGACATGTTCCCTTAAAAAAAATACCTGCTTACTTTTCAAGTTAAAATTAAGAGTTGTGAGAATTAGTTAATGTTTCTAAAGGACTTTGAGACCTTTGGATGCATGAAAATACTATGTGGAAACATGAAAGATTCTTATGAAACCTAACAATAAAAATACGCATATATATGTAATGTGGTCATAGTCCTTTTCAACCTGGCTTTTTTGGGAAGGGTGGATGGGTAGGAAATATAGCATATTGCTACAGAGATTATATTTTTATGAAAATAAAACTGCCAAGCATCATCAGCTAGCACTGGATTTGGACTAGTTATCAGTCCCAGAGCCAGCCAGTCCACACAAATATTTTGTTTTAAATTTTTGTTAAGTAGTTCACTTGCCACATGGACTCTGACACCAAAATTCCTTTCCCAAGTTCCCTTAAGGGTTTTGTGTGCACACTGGAGAAATACAAATGGGGTACTTAAAAAACCAATGTGAAGCTAACCAGAAGTCAGTGGGATTTTTGCACGCATATGGGGACTGCAATAGCAGGTTGTCCATTTGGATTCTTATTAAACTTCCTCTAATTACCAATGAAATCCCAAAAGAATAAAGCTCCACTATTATGAAACCATGTACAGTTATAGTTCATTAAATTACATCTGATGATCTGTGGAATTAACTTTGAAAATGAAGGATAGTAGGGTTAACCTTCCTCCCCCTGCCAAAAAAACCCACAACAACCACCACCCGAGAATTCAGAGGAACAGCCGTGTTAGTCTGTATTCGCAAAAAGAAAAGGAGTACTTGTGGCACCTTAGAGACTAACCAATTTATTTGAGCATGAGCTTTCGTGAGCTACAGCTCACTTCATCAGATGTATACCGTGGAAACTGCAGCAGACTTTATATACACACAGAGAATATGAAACAATACCTCCTCCCACCCCACTGTCCTGCTGGTAATAGCTTATCTAAAGTGATCAACAGGTGGGCCATTTCCAGCACAAATCCAGGTTTTCTCACCCTCCACCCCCCCACACAAATTCACTCTCCTGCTGGTGCTAGCCCATCCAAAGTGACAACTCTTTACATAATCAGTCGGGCTATTTCCTGCATAGATCCAGGTTTTCTCACATCCCCCCCACCCCCATACACACACAAACTCACTCTCCTGCTGGTAATAGCTCTGGAGCTAGAAGGTGTAGGTTCCAGCTCAAGTAGACATACCTGCACTAGCTCTGATCAAGCTAGCTTGATAAAAATAGAAATGCAGATGCAGTGGTGCAAGGGGTGGGACTGGCTGCCCACCCAAGTGCAATTCAGGACAAGACTCTAGGTACGTACTCTGTACATAATTTTGTGGTTTTACTTCTTTTGTTGAGGAGGGGTGTGGGAAGGGATGCTAACACAAAATGGGGGAAAGCCAGACTCAGGATGTAAAAAAGATGCCAGTTGCATGTTAATGGGTTATACCAGCTTAGATATTGGAAAATATACAAAGATACTACTCACAAAAATGTTGTCTTCTTTATACTCCAGATACTCTCTTTCCAACAAGAAGTAAGCTCTGGAGTGCATAGCAATAAGAGAACTTGCGCAGGCCTCTTTCTCTCTTGCCTTCCCCTCACAATATAGTTCTGGCTTCACAGAAGCTGTCCTCTTGCAAAAGGGCAGGTGATCCTCCCACTCTAATTCCTGCCTCACAGCGGTTAGTGGCTTGTGCACATAATTTCTAAAGGGTTTGCACGGAGTTTAAAGAGGCTAATGGCCCTGAGCTGAAATCCAAAGGAGTCAGTCAGAGCTAAAAGCACCACACGGAGCTGGTGAACGCTCAGTAGCAGAGGCTAAACAAACCCAGATAAGGAGCTTATTCCTGATCCATTGAATTTTCTTATATGGCTGGACAGTGTCTATAGGAGGAGGAGCGCCAGGGCAGCTGGGAGCCCCCGCAGCACATAGCAGAGGTACAAGGAATAGGCTGGACTCTGTGTATAGTGTTACCCAGCAACAGATTCCTTGGTCTGCTCAGCTGGAAAGGCTATGGCTTTGTTCCCCGCCCAGCCAATCACAGGAGGTCTTAGTTCATTAATCGGCTTGCCCCAATCACAAGTGGCCTTTCACCCAGCACTTAAAAAAGAGAGTTCCCCCTGGCTGCAGCTGCCATGACACTAGAGGCAAAGCTTAGAGGCCAAGCCATGACTCTAGAGGAGGGGTCGGCAACCTTTGGCACATGGCCCGTCAGGGAAATCCGCTGGCAGGCTGGGACGGTTTGTTTGCAGCATCTGCAAGTTTGGCCAATCGCAGCTCCCACTGGCTGCAGTTCGCCATTCCAGGCCAATGGGGGCTGCGGGAAGCGGTGGCCAGCACGTCCCTCGGCCAACACCGCTTCCCGTAGCTCCCATTGGCCTGGAACAGAGAACCGCGGCCAGTGGGAGCCGCGATTGGCTGAATCTGCAGACACTGCAGGTAAACAATCCCCCCGGTCCGCCAGCAGATTTCCCTGATGGGCTGCGTGCCAAAGGTTGCCGATCCCTGCCTAGAGGCAAAGGCCAAGCCCTGACATTAGGGACCGAACCTGAGCCTAGGAAGATGCCCTTATGGGGCATCCATCTTCCTGGGTTGATAACTGCCTGGGCAAAGGGCTGCCGGAGGTTGGCTCTGCCCCTGGAAGTGTCATCATGAGTTTTAAAGATTGGGGAGTTTTATAGGGTAAGAATTACACACGCACCACTTATAGTCTGTACCACTGAATAAAACTATGTCTGGTTACAACTCCACCAGCTCCCACACTATTATCCTGAAGTGCACCCCTTTGCCCAAGCCAGACCTAGTTGCCTTATTCCCAAACACCTCAGGCCCAAGCTTCCGGGTCAAATGTGAATGGAGACGAGTTTAAAAAAATGCGGCTGTTTAGCTCTGTCATGCTCACACAGCAAACCCTTCAACGCCGGGGGAGAGAGAGAGATTATAAATCTGCCTGTGCTAGGAACAGCACTGACAGAGCACTCTGTCCTCAGATCTGAACGTACGTTAATAAGGGTTAGGTATCACTGTCCCCAGAGGGAGAGGAAAAGCAGCTTGCCTAAGGTCACATAAAAAGTGAATCAGGGCAGAGCTCAGCATACAACTGCTTTCTCCTGACTCCCAGCGTCCTGTAGTTTGACTGCTTTGCAACGTTACCTCCTCTTCTGCATTAGCTCTGGAATGACAGGCTTTATTTAATACAGCAGCCAGCTGATTACAGAAAATAATTGCTCTGACATCTGGGCAGACTCTGTTACAGCTAAGTTTAATATCTTCATGTTTATTTATTAAATACATTAATAATGCCCATATAGTTCGGGGGGGGGGGGACATAAATAATCCTTCCTTAGTTAAAATTGGAGAATTAGCATCATGTTGGATATAGCTTGCAAAAGGCCCAATTCTCCATCTGTTTACTCAAGCGAGGAGAGTTCTAACATTGACTGAAATAAGGCTACTTCTAGGAATAAACTGTGCAAGATGGGGCCCTCAACATTACAAAACCCTCTGGGTTTATCAGTGCTCTGCACATGTAATATCAGAAAATAATTTGGCTGTTTTGTACCCATATAATTGGGATAAAATCTAGTTGTGGTCTCCAGAGTAGGAGGATAATCAGAATCCCAGAAATAAAGCATAAAGGCTAGGTGTGTCATTAAGACACTGCTGGACCCAGGGAGAGAGAGGAAGGAGGGACAATGGTGGCAGGTCCTTGAGACAGTGTCTTTGCTTAGATACAATGCCACCAGGAATGACTGGGTGAATGCCCAGAATGGCTACATCTCCTGTTACTACATCGTTTTGCAAGGTGCAGTGTAAGTTTTCCACACTGTCCAGAAGCTGGCCCAGATGTTCTGACCAGCACGTAGAGATCTAACACTCCTTGCACAGATATTGTACCTTCCTTGCACTGATACTGGTGTTAGGTTCCCACGGTCTTGTCACACCAGGGGCCTGATCCTGCACAAGATGTTAAAGAATAAGGAGATGATTTTCACACACAGACACACCCGAAAATATGATACTGTAACCAGGGGCAGCGCAATTTTGCCGCCCCAAGCAGTCGCTGCCGCCAAGCTGCCACCCCGGGACACTGACTGCCGCCCCATTCTGAGTGCCGCCCCAAGCATCTGAAGAAATTCACTGAAAATAATTGTCTCTAGAGTTTTCCTTGAAGTGTCAGCTATGTTTTAGGGGCACAGTCATCCCCTCCTGCAGAGACACATCTAGGAATGGATGCTCAGGCCAGGAAAATCTGAATGATTGTTTTGCCATTCCTCTACGGCTGGTCTCTCTCAGGAAGCTGATTTGTAATGTGTAAGGGGGGGGGGGGGGATCTGCAAAGAGAAATTTAAGAGGTGAGTTGGTCAGTCTCTAAATACCTACATGAAGAGGGGATGTCTGATGGTACAGGCCTCTTTAATCTAGCAGACAAAATCATAACAAGCTCTAATGGCTGGAGTTGACTCCAGAGAAATTCAGACTAGAAATAAGATGCACATTTTTAGCAAAGAAAGTAATTAACCATTGGAACAATTTACCTAGGGATATGGTGGATTTTCGGTCACAAAGTCATTCAATCAAGGTTGGATGGCTTTTAAAAATATATGCTTAAGCTAAAGCAGAAGTTATGGGCTTGATGCAGGAATCACTTCTTGAAATTCTGTGGCCTGTGTTGTGCAGGAAGTCAGATTAGATGACCGTAATGGAATGTGGTCCCTTTTGGCTTTAAAATCAATGAGTTATCAAGGCAGAAGTATCCATGAAAGAATGTCCCTCAAGGAGGTCGTGCTCATTCTCCCCAGTCATCTGGCAGCCTAATGCTTAACTTGACCATTGATTGTTGCACAGAATCCCAAAATCCAATCCCAGTGAATCTGTGTGATATTATTCCTTCTGTAAAAAGGAGCTAGAAACTAGGGACAATGCCCTGGAGCCAGCACTTTCCACCTTCAGGAGTCCCAGGTTTGCTCAAACAAGCTCATGTTACTGGTGCTTACAGAAGTTGTAAAGGTGATTGGGAACCAAATACTATCCTATATTATTGTACTTTTTCAAAATATTATTGCATCTATGTATATCTTTGTAATTTATGGAAATCAGTTATAACAATATGTGTGTGTGTGTAAACACATATGCATATGTATTCCAAGCACTTTTAATGTTTAATGAACTCATTTATTTCTTACAACTCAAACGGATGGTTTCAGTTTTATTTAGACTCTTTGAACAATCTTAAAAACCCAACGGTTTCTTCACACAGTCTACAGATTAAAGCAATGCAATGTGCTGCTCTGATTATATAACTTTGGGTACACTGGTTACCCAACAGCAGTCTGCAGAGCTGAATTTCCCCCAATGAGCTGAATTTCCCCCAAAGGAGTTCTCATTTAGAGCAGGTTCTGAAATGCAAAACCTGCACTAACTCAGCTATTAAAAGTATTTTAGACACTTTTCTACAATGCGTTGCACAGATAAACAGAAAATAAAGGACACCACATATGCTTTTAATAATTCCAATTTAAAATCAATTTCCCCCTCCATCTTAAAGACCTTTTTGGTGTATAATCAGAAGATTGTGTCTCTCTATTTTTAATAATTTTAAATTACCTCAGTAATATAACTGTCCTAAAACATACTAAATTTTAATCTTTAAAGATCAAACAGAAAGACATACAATGGGTTATATCTTGAGTGACTTGGAGGTGATAAGCTCTCCTCTCATAAAAAAAAGCCTACACGAGGATAAAAATTACTTCCATGGACACTATATTCTGGAAGGGAGATGTTTGCAGGCCCACAGAGAAAGTAGGTTTGTGGCCATAAGAAACCATAGCCATTGAAGATACAGCCAGAGGACAGAGTGCTCTCAGAGAACCCATAGATATGGCTTGCGTGACTACGGGCTGTAGGATTGGTTCCTATCATAAAACCATCTTGGTTAAGCAGCGCTCTGTAAGCATAACATCGGAAAATAATTTATTTCCTTTTGATCGGATAAAGTGTGGTTGCCCATTCCAGAGCAAGTGCAGAGAAGACAAGGGGACAAAGGTGCAAGTGTACATACCATCTATCTGTAGCTCTCCACGTACTCTGATGCCTGCCAGTACTTGCTCAACAGGGAACTAAGATGCTGGCTGCAGAAGACAGTGTCAACAGTCAGAGCTGCTAGCACAAGAAGGTTGCTCACAGTGCTTTAATTTAGTTATGTTCCATTTTTGTAACACAGATAGTGCTTCTGTATTGGGAACAATGCTGCCATCCCACGTCTTCCATGCCCCACTCAATCCACACAGAATTGCAGCTCTGCTGGTTTTCCACAGAGGGGCTTCTGTTCTGTGAGCCCAGGGGTGAGCATGATAGCTATCAGGGCACCCTTCTGTCCCATGAGCACAGTAGGGTCTTGCCAATGCATACTTTAAATAAAAGAATTTTTGGTACTGTAATAAATTTGTGAAGCTCAGTTAAAATGCTGTTGTTTTTTGGTAGCAAATCAAAAACATGTTCAACTAATTAGTTTTTAAGCATCCTGGAGATAAAAAATAGCTTATCCTCTTTGAACAATGATTTAATTTTTCCCCCCACACAAATTCACTCTCCTGCTGGTGCTAGCCCATCCAAAGTGACAACTCTTTACATAATCAAGTCGGGCTATTTCCTGCATAGATCCAGGTTTTCTCACATCCCCCCCACCCCCATACACACACAAACTCACTCTCCTGCTGTGTGTGTATGGGGGTGTTTGTGTGTGTATGGGGGTGGGGGGGATGTGAGAAAACCTGGATCTATGCAGGAAATAGCCCGACTGATTATGTAAAGAGTTGTCACTTTGGATGGGCTAGCACCAGCAGGAGAGTGAATTTGTGTGGGGGGGGTGGAGGGTGAGAAAACCTGGATTTGTGCTTGAAATGGCCCACCTGTTGATCACTTTAGATAAGCTATTACCAGCAGGACAGTGGGGTGGGAGGAGGTATTGTTTCATATTCTCTGTGTGTATATAAAGTCTGCTGCAGTTTCCACGGTATACATCTGATGAAGTGAGCTGTAGCTCACGAAAGCTCATGCTCAAATAAATTGGTTAGTCTCTAAGGTGCCACAAGTACTCCTTTTCTTTTTGCGAATACAGACTAACACGGCTGTTCCTCTGAAACATGTATAAACTGTTAATCCATCAATATGTTTCACAGGTTATTGTGAGAGATTCATAGATTTCCAAGGGACCACTATGATCATCTAGTCTGACCACTGGAGTAATGCAGGCCATAGAATTTCCCCAAAATAATTCCTAGAGCATATCTGTTAGATGATGCTAAAGTGATAGATATGTCAGAGTACCCTTACATCTTGAATAGACATGGCACAATGATGCAAGCTGCAGTCTCTTAAGCATTTTTCAAGCCAATTGTCTTAATACAGGTCCTGTGAGGAGGCAGAGTTGCCTTCGAGATTCTCAGAAATATAGGGCCTAATCCTATATTAGGATTAGATAACAGGCCACATATCTCCCACTAAGGGCCAGGGGCCTTCAATGCCCACTGGATTCAATGGAAGTTGAGGGAACTCAACATCTTGCAGTACTGGATCCAAATTGACCAGTGTAACAGTACTTATAACAGCACTGAAGTATGAATATATGAATACCATCTGCAGTACTTTGAGTTAGATGAGCTTTTTAAAATTCTCTTGATGAGCAAAGGTAACAGAAGAATACTGAAACAACTAGCAAATGTAGTAGGGATATTCTAAACCTGTAAACTCCTGTACAACTTCATTCATGCAAGGCACTAATGGACTCTTCTTTGGTTTCTTGTTAAATATCTCAGACCCTGGAATACACATTTAGCAGTTCTTCTATATCCATGTCTTCCAAACCAGTTTTTGTGGAATAATTCTCTGCTACATCTGCAGTTTTCATTCTGTACAAACCCACCATAATTAATCCTTATCTGTGGAGGACACCATAATGCTAACTCCCATTTTGACATGCATTTTGCCCTTTAAACACCAAAAGTTTTCTTTCTTTTTATGTAAGGATAGACTAATTTGGGAAGGATGAGAAGCCAGACTGAACAGACAGTATCTTGTCCTCTCATGTTGCAATTCTTAAGTTTTATTTCCAAACCTCCAGAGATTCACAAACAACTATAATAGTTCTTTGACGGAAGTTGCCATACTGAGTCTACCATTAGAAAGTCTCTACCATTTTCTCTTCCTTTGTCCGTGATTCAAAAACCATATTTGGTTCTCTGAGTTTCCACCCAAACAGGAATTCCCAACATTCCGATACTTTTTGGCAGTTTAATTTCCACATTAGCCAATTTATTTTAGTAGTTTTTCTTTTTAGCTCCCAAGTGAATTCTTGTCTCTTTGTTTTAGCATTCGTTAACTCACTGCAAGCTATGAGTCAAGCAGAGGATTTGAATCCCAGAATTCACAAACTTCATTCACTGAGGGGAAAAAAACTCTCCTTGAGGGTTGACAGGCTTTCTGCTCAAAGCAGATCTTCCATTTTGTAACAGCTGTAAGTGTATATGATTCTTTGACAGATCTCTGCTGCGGATAACCTTCTAGTAAAGAAAAAACGACATATAACTGTGGGTAGGTGGCGGTTGGATTTAATGTATTTCTATGCAAAACCAAAAAGTATGTGAAAGATTTTTTCAAGCCTGCCATTGCTGCTCCAGCAGACACATTTTCAAACTGGTACGTCTAAAGCTAAGCACTTATATCCATAGGCACCTAAACAAGCGATATGTTTCTTGGGGTGCTAAGCATCTGCAGCATTATTATTTGTAAATTTTTGCTTATGTGTGGTTTATACTTGATTTCCCAGCAGTTTTTGATATGACTATTGGTGGTTGTTTTAGCAACTAAGGGACATAGATAGCCTGCTGTGGTATATGTCAGGAGCACACCAGTTGTGATGGATCTAGCTAAGTAGGGCCTTTCTCTTGTCACGTGGCCATTACTTTCTTCTCAAACCAATGAATCTAGTAGCAGTATAGTAGGTGGTAGGAGTTGTTATGAGGACGCTCTTGGTTTCTTCATACCCTCATTCACTGAGGGCATTCATTTGATATGAGTAAGCAAAATTAAGAATCTTGGTATCACTTTCAAACAAGCTTTTTACATGGAGAGCCATGCGCCAGCCACAGTACAAAGCTGGTTTGTTTTTTTTAAGTCACAGTTTGTGTTCTTATTTATTGAAGATTTTCTAACAGCAACATAACTCTAGTACCACAACGCTTAATTGCCTGCATGCATTTTCCTTTGTACCTGGAACAGATGCCTATAAAGTGGGCAGATTGACTTCAAGATGGCACTGTTGTTTTTTGAAGCCCTTAATGCCATAGGCCAAGAAACCTCCAGCTGAAACCCTGGTGAAAATTTTAGCTTCCACTTTCTCAGCATGTTTGACGCTTAGGATGCATAAGATGTTTGCAGTGATGCAACTATTTAAAAAAAGTGTGAGAGGACAGTGGGGAAAAAAGTGGAAGGTAGGAAGGGGAATGCATTCATCTTGCATTGAGCAGGACATCAACAGAATAGTGAAACAAAACAAAAAAAAACGTGTGTGCCTCACATGTGCACGAGAAATGACCTTCCCAAACATCTTGATTTTGCTAATGAGATGATAGTTTGTTATGCACTGGCACAGAGATAAAAGTTTGATCAAAGGACACAAAACTCCAGTGTTCAAAATATCCCTTTTCTAACACTTAGGGTTTGGAGCAATAGCAGCCTGCAGCCAGGTGGAAGTTTAGTATAGATGGAATTAGTGCTTGATCTTTGCCTCAAAAACAAAACTTTACCTTAAGTACAGCAAACATCCTAATTAAAATTCCAGATCTGAATACAATTAACCTGGACATAACATGTCAGCTTCGTGGGCTCAGTATATATGAAATATTGAAGACATGGTGGTCATAAAAGTACTTATTGCATAATTATTAATGGGGTTCTTGTTGCACACATGCACCCAGATCCTCAGAGGTGTTTAGGTGCCTAACTCCCACTGAACTCAATGGAAGTTAGGTGCCAAAATACATTTGAAGATCTGGGCCATACATCCCCACACGTACACACTGAGCAGAGCTTTTGCATGTATGCAGCACTGAAGTCTCACTTAAGACCTTAACAAGGAGCTTAAATGGTATGCTGGAGTTCTGTTCAAGGGTTGAACTTCACCCACAGAGAAGAGCAGAGAATGCATTATTTTCTCAGTGAAATTTTATTATTGCTGTCTTTTCAGTATCTTCCCAAAATATCTGCATGGTCAGGTTTTAAATAAAGCTTAAGGAGTCGTATATTTCCACATCAATTGTCATAAAATATTATGTGCAAAACCCTGCTTCTCTTACTCAGACGATGAGATGTTCTGGCTTTTAATAGACTACTTGCTTGAGTAAGGTGAGCAGGATTTGGCCTTCCATCAGATTAGATTTTCCAAATACCTATTATACCAAGATTCCGGAAATACTGATTTTTATATTAAAACAATGTTTTAATAAACAGCAGCATAAAATAATCAGTGTTTAATATCATCTCTGGTGTGTGAAATACAAAAATGCACATATCTTCAGTATAAAATAGCCTTTGGTATTACATTTTCATGCTTGCCTAATTGAAATGCCCATAATTAATAAATCAATCATCAAGTAATACAGTGATTAAATGCATGCAGTGAAAACAAACAAAAACAAAATATATGTATAAGGTAGTGGCTGAATATCACCATAATATATTTAAAGAACATCTACAGCAGGTTAAAAACAAAAAAGAAACAGACCAATATATAAAATGCAGAGATGTGTTTCACTTCTGCTATACAAAACACTTTTGTGCAAAAAGATGTGAAAAATAAAGTCATATCATACAACATCGTCAACTGAGCAAAGGATTGTTTTCATTGTGTGGAACAAAAGATATTATTTTAATACAAATAACGTTGTGAAAAGATGTAATGTACATAGTACTTTTGTAAATCATAAAAGTGGTCTCAAAATGAATAATCTAGATTGATTATACCTGAATTAATTTCAGTAATAATACAAATGTCATTTTTCTAAGTAAAAAGTTCACTTTAATTCACATTACTTTAACTGATAGACAAAGTTGCCATAAAAGTTTTTAATCGCTGATGGAATGTGGATTTCCCATTTTTAGGGGTTTCTGGAGTCATAGTCACTGAAATTATGTACTGCTCTGAAACAATAAATACTTCTTGGGAAAACTGATTGTCTTACATAAAATTGTGGTTTGGAGCTTTTTCATTAAACAGTTGCATAGCAACAAAAGGACACAAAATTTCTTTGATAACTACACATATAAAATTATGAAATGTTAACTTTGAACCAGTTGATTCATGCTCTGAAATTAAAATTCTTAATTTAATTTCCTTTAAAGGCAATTTCTTATAACGCCATCTATTTTTAGCAGACATTACCAGATTATTTTAGTAGCCTGTGAGTTGGCTTCTACTGAATGTCAGGATATTTTACGCAGTTTTTTTGGTTTAAATATGAACAAGACTCTCACCTCAGGTGAAAAACAAAAACCTACCTGAAATAATTAATCCAGCCATCAGATGTCAACATTGGATCATGTATCTGAAACACCATTCTTGACTGAAAAAAACTTACAGATGTTTAAGCTAATGGAAGTGAATTGCATACCCAATAAATCTCTGAATATTTGCATCTCTTAAAAAAAGTGATTGACAAATATTAAAATGTTTTCAGAATAATAAAGTTTCTGTGATATAAACCAGTGGCTCTCAAAGCTGGTCCGCCGCTTGTTCAGGGAAAGCCCCTGACAGGCCGGATCGATTTGTTTACCTGCTGCGTCCGCAGGTTTGGCCAATTGCGGCTTCCATTGGCCGCGCTTCACTGCTCCAGGCCAATGGGGGCTGCGGGAAGGGCGGCCAGCACGTCCCTTGGCCCGCGCCGCTTCCCGCAGCCCCCATTGGCCTGGAGCGGCGAACCGTGGCCAGTGGGAGCCGTGATCGGCCGAACGTGTGGGCGTGGCAGGTAAACAAATCGGTCCGGCCCGCCAGGGGCTTTCCCTGAACAAGTGGCGGACCAGCTTTGAGAATCACTGATATAAACCATATCAGAGCTTTAAACACCTGTGACAGTGTATGATGGTCATCACAAAATTTTTGTTGTTGTTTTTGTCCCTTATTAGAATAAACATTAGTTTGGTACTTGAAAAAATGTCAGTTCACATTGTTTCGTGCTAATACCACAATGATTTTTATCTGGTTGGTGTCTGCCTATCCTGTTAAACACAGTTAAACTTCACAGAAGATACTTGTTGCAAAAGTCTGTTAAACAACCAGAAAAATCTTTAATAAAATATTTGAATATAAATCTTTTCTACGTCTTTCTATTTGTACTGTAAATAGTTATATGTACAAAGGCCTGACTTATTTACAACTCTGCTGAAATCATAGATTCGTTAGGTCCATGAATATTGGGGTCTCCCAATAAGGATGACTGTTTTGAGTCAATTTTGTATGGTTTTTGAGTTTTGTTTCCAAAAACTGTTATACCAATTCCACTTGGATGACTTGGAATTGACATATGAGATAGCAAAGGTATATTTGCATCCTGATTGGATCCTGAAGAAGGCAAACTAGTCACATGACCTGTGCTAGTTGATCCACTTGCGCTGCTTGGCGAACGGCTCTTTGGAGGTGGACAGTGCTGAATTACCCTGGGTGGGCCCGGTGGTTGGTAGTGGGCAGCTGGGAAAGCAGCATATCCTGGAGGAATCGGGTATCCATTGATTGGAATAAATCGCTGGTTTTGAGGTATTGGTGGTCCAATGAACCCAGCAATTTGACCTTGTGGTATACCCTGTGCTGGAAACATGTAATTAGGGTATCTAGGATTACTTAGGTTACTAACTGGGCTTGCACTGAGTGAAGTTGTTTGAGTGGTGGCATTTCCACCAGAGGGAGTAGTAGAGCTAGTGTGACTTGAAAGTCCCTCCCAAGAACGCAGTCTGGCATGGATATCTTTAAATCTTGGCCTCCGAGATGGAAGATCATGCCAGCACTCTGTCATCAAGCTATACATTCTGGGAGGACAGTCTTCAGAGCATGGTAATAATTGTCGTTTCCTGACCATCTCTATGACTTCTTGATTACTAAATCCATAATATGGTTGGAGTCCAAAGCTGAAAATCTCCCATAAGACCACGCCAAAGGACCAAATATCTGAATCAGAAGAGAACTTGCCATACATAATTGCTTCTGGTGGCATCCAGCGAATCGGCAGCAGGGATTTACTTTGAACTCTGTAGTAATCTGCTGAGTATATTTCTCTTGATAGTCCAAGGTCTGAAATTTTCACATGAAGTTGTTCTCCAATTAAAATGTTGCGAGCAGCAAGGTCTTTATGGACAAAAAAATGACTGGATAAGTATTCCATTCCTGCCGCAATTTGAACTGCAATATGCAGGAAATCCCCATGGTCCAGACTGGATTTGACAGTACCGTCCTCATCACTGCTACACCCAACATCTGAATGTGGCGATCGCATAATAAGGAATTCATGGAGATCTCCCTGGTTCATGTACTCAAAAAGCATGCAGACGGGTTGTTCCTGAGTCACAACACCTAGGAGACAAACAATGTTAGGGTGATGAAGTTCTGCCATAAGAGATGCTTCTTGCTGGAATTCTGTCCACTGCTGGGGATTGTTAAAGTCTTTTAATGTCTTGATAGCAACAAGCTGAGCATGATCCATGCCTGGAAGATAGAGGTGCCCCTTGTAGATTTTTCCAAGAGCACATTCACCCAGTTCTTCCATGAAACGAACAGCAGAAAGAGGTAACTCCTTAGCTTTGCTCTGTTAAAACAGCAAATCAAAGAGTAGGTTATAAAAATAGAGTCAAAAAGGTACCTAAATTAGAGACCTATTCTCTCAGCAAGGCCATAAACCTGCAGCTCCCTGCAATAGTATCTATAACTCAAATGGCAGTAGAAATATTGTGCTTTTGCTGTGTAGGGAGACCAGGCAGTGAAGATGCCATGTAGGGACACTCTGTATTGTTGATCCAAGCTCTGTAGTGGCTCTGTCCACAGGAATGTGGGCTGCCACCACTAGGAGAGATATTGCTGGGACCACACTGCAGATGTATTGGGAGCCTGGTTGAGGCTGGGGATTCCAATACTCTAGTACCCATGCAGTTCCTCACTGAATGTCTCTTTACTCCCACTGTGTATGAGGGAAGAGGATTTCCCCATATCAAAATACAGAATAACTTTCCATCCTTTACACAAGACTAGATGCAGGTGAACAAAGACTGAGTATAGGATCAGTTATGGTCACAGTGCGGCAAAGAACTTCAACATGGACTTAATTTTAATCACAGGACTAGTCCCATTGATTTCAGCTGGGCTACACACATGCTTAAGTTCAGCTTTGAGAGACCGGGGCCATATAATGTTAGGTGCAAATTTATGTTTTAACCCTGACTTAGGACTCCGGTAAGTTTCATCCTAGAGTTAGTTATTAACTCCTTAGGGTACAAAAGAGATTAGTTCTCTGTATACTTGAGGGAGTGTACAAGCCCTCCCCTCCCCCCAAATCAAGAAAGTAGAATCAGCTGGAAAAGCATCAGACTTTGGTCAAAGGAGAATAGAAACGAGGGCCAAATCTTTTTCAGACATCGTTGCCTAATTTAGGCAGGTACATCCATATTTAGACACTTAAATAAGAGACCTTATTTTTAGAAGTTAACATCAGTGGGTGCTCAGCACCTCTGAAAATCAGGTCACTTACTGAGATGCCTAAATTATGGACTTGGTAGCCTAAAGGTAGGCGCCTGAGTTTGGAATCCACATTCAGTAAAACAGCGTAGTCAGAAACATTAGCATTTGCTTTCCTGGAATATTGTCAGTGTAGTTTTGCATGAGTAATATGGAAAAATTGACATTAAAAATCATTTTAAAGTTGCACACTCAGAGTAAACAAATTCTAGTTGTACTGACTACTTACAAATTGTAGACAAATGTTTCATAAGTAAAAAAATAAAATCACAAAGACATTTAAACAAGCAGCTAGTAGACTGTATGGTGATGGCAGGAAATTAACTGTATTGTTGAAGAACAGATGGTTTATATTATATAAATCCTTTAGGCTAAAACTTGTTTAGGTCTGGCATATTGTAAATTATATTTTCGTAATGAAAGTGAAATGACCTCTGTCTGACCTCAGACAGGGTTTGTCTGTTTGAACCAACATAGTGGAAAACTATGAAAGAAAATGAAGTCATAAAGTTTTGGCAGGAAGGGCTCATTTCAAGTTAAGCGGTTATAAATCTGCTTAGTTTTTGTTTGACAAGTATTTGTCATACAGTGGTGTACAAAATGTAAAGAAGTGTAAAATACATACGAGGCATCACGCCAAAGTAAACCAAGTACAAAGGAAAAATAGAAAGAATGAAGCCCACCGCTTCTATCTCTTTATCAGTTGCCTCCATTAGTTGAATGACAAGATGGACTCAGTTTATTATATTCTCTAAGGCAATTAAGTACCTTAAAACTGAAACAGGCTTTTGGTTTAAATGTTAACATTTTTATTTGGAAGAGTAAACACACATCCACCTCAGTATGAGCTAGAACGTTTTTAACCAATGTTGACATTGGTATTGGATACAATATTTTAAAATAGAATTCTACTTCCTTTCTTTTTTAAAATTTTGTTTGAAAGGCAGCCAAAACAGTTGTGTCAGTGGGACAGCCAGCCACACTCCCAACAGGAAAATATACAATTGTCATAAATGAAATCAGGTGTTTTCTGCAGCATATCATTTTAAACATGAAAAGGAAACACTGTGGTCTATATTTCCAGACATTTATGGGCAAGACACTTTGCCCACGCTCTGTGCATAAAGTATTAATATGTTGGTGGTCAAGAGTAAAACCTGAACCCCACAAAGTCAATGGCAAAACTCCCATTGACTTCAGTGGGGCCAGCATTTCCTCACAAGTATCTAATACAGAGAAAGGAATAATATTCAAAATTTGGATCCAGTGAAGGGGAGGTTTGGACATGGGGTTTGGTTTAGGCACATCTTTAATCTAATGTGTACTGCACACGAGATTTATATTGTGATTTTCTATGGGTATTAACAGATAGTCCCTCAGTTTCATCATTCTGCCCCTTAAAGTAGAAGTCGGTACTTTGAAAAACAAAAACTAACCCCCTGCGCTGTGTGTTTATTGGACTCAGTTAATTTGTAAGGTAAAGTACAATAGATCAAATTCTGGCTGATTTAGCACTTATGTAACACACCAGCAAGAGACTGCATGTATGGTTTATAAATTGTGTAGAATAGTGCATCCCGAAAACAAACATTCCCCAAATGGTCTAATACCTGGTTAGAATGGACTGCTTTCCAGCAGCAATAATAACCAGTTAAAAACAAACAGAAATCTCATGAAGAAGGTTTCTTCTAGACTTTCCAGCTAATGTTTGCAGATTCTAGAGATTAAAGACTAAGACTTGGTTAATATTAGAACGTTTGAGTGCTTTGCTGTAATGAAACCTCTGAACCTCTTACTGTTCCCTGTCCCTGGTCCAAATCTTGAAGAGGAGGACCTGGCATAGTTTTTTGACCCATGAATGATAAAATGATGGTATAAAGAGTCACATGGAATCCCAGGTAACGAGGATTAAATAAAATATGAACCAAAACCAGTTGTTTGCAATACATGTGTAACCATGCAGGTCAGCCATGGCATGCCATCTTCTCTGCCTTCTTCAGTTATGTATTTTCACTAATGAGTGACCCAAATGAAAATCCTGGATTCAAACACTTCTGAAACCTGGGGAAGTTCAGAACCAGATGCTTACTGGGGAAGTTCAGAACCAGATGCTTACTGGTTTGGGCCCCAACTCTGTATTTTCACTATCCTTTTTTTTTCTTATAACCCATCTTTCTTCTTGAATCCACAAACCTATTTTTCTAAATAAGGTTTCACGGTTAAATTTTTCTAAGTAAGGTTCACATAATGAAATTATAACAAGACTTCACAATACAAAATGAATGACTTGAACTGAGAAAGTCAGCACTCTGTTCTCTCCACACAGTGGATGCTGTGGGATTACCTTTATTGTTAACTTAATGATGAAATATAAACTTCAATCTAAACTTTCTGCAGAGTTGGCTTACTCCTAGGATTTGCCCTGCAAGGTCCTTTTATATCTGTCTCTTCCCACAGTTGCTTCTGCCCATGAGAGAGAGAAAAACTATCCCTGGTCAGACCTCCAGCATGAGTCAGTAGAATAGCTCTGCCTCCCTCTCTCTGAGAGGTCCTAAAGCCTAACTCCCTGTCACATGAGCATATTGCAAATTCAAAGCACAATGGATTATTTAAACAATTTTGCCTGAACCCTCTGCTGACTAATTCTTCATAATCTAAGACTATGAACCTGACACTCAAGAGCAAGCAGTAGACACATCTCATGATTGCTATATCACACCTAAAACAGATCTCTACTTACAAACATATTCACATATGGAGAGCACAGGTCCTGAAACGTAAGCGTAACCTCCTTTTCTTAGGCTGAGCGACTAAAACTGCCGTCATTCTGAAAGAATATCTTTGGCATGTACAGCAATATTTATAGAAGGAAGGTTATGCACAGTTTGCATTGCTCCTAATGCCTGAATTTGGATTCATTTTGCTATTTTCTAACTAAAATAACAACCTGCCAACAGGTATGTCTAGACAGTTTGGTGTAAATAATTCTACACAGTTTTCTAATGCATTATTTTTTAGATACTCCGGATATTCTCCTGCTTGGATGTGGCAGAGGCTCACGTCCAGCCATGCAGGTGGCTTCTCTGGACATTTCCAGCACCTGCCCTGCTAATAAACCAATGAGGTCATCGCTAATAATTTTTGCAGTGTCTTAACTGCTTGGTGAGGCTTTTTTTTTTTTTAATTGGAAAAAAGTGCTTCATGAATTTGGAGTTTCAATAAAGAGGAACAATATTAAGAGTCAGTGAAGAGAGGCCCTATGTTTCAATAAGGCAGGCTGTAAATATGAATAGGTTTTGGTGCTTCATTTTGCAAATATCTCTAAAGAATGTGTAAACTTGAACATACAAGGAGGAGATCATTTTAAAGTGATTTCAGCTGACTAACACGTGAGGCAAGGATACAAATTATCCGTTAAAAAGTGCCTTCTGAAACAGCCAATCAAATGAAAGAATGCATCTTCCTCCCCGCTTACTTACTAACTAGAACAAGGCCTCCATGCCACTTCACAAGCAGTTGCATACTTCATTAAAGTTTCTTTTCATCCAAAGATATATAGACCATTAGCTTTATGCTGCACAGTACGACATATAGTACGCTGATGACAACAGAAGCTGTTCAAAAAGTGCAGCCAACGACAATGACAGAGACTGTGTGATGGAAATCAATTGGATAATGTTCCAATTCTCGATTGAGCAAAGCATGCTAATTCCATGATCTTAGAAACAGCAATTTACAAGGCAGAAATCAGGTGCACGATTACCTTTGGTTTGTATGCATTTAGCATTGACATCTCTACATTTTGCCCTCTGACGTGTTTGGGCTGTCTTTGTACTGGAGGGGAGGAAGACTTCTGGTTGTTGCGGCAGACGCAGATGAAGAAGAACAACAAGGCTATAGCCAGGGGAATAGTAACACTAGGCACCAATATATATAGGATTTCCATTTTACTCTTCTCCTTGGAATCTTTGGTATCTGGATCAGAAAAGAAAAAGAAGGTGAAAATAATGAAAACACATGATGCATAAAATATCTCATGCAAAATAGTAAACTCCTGTATGTGCTGGAAATGCTTGAGAATGATAAAACAAATGGTGGATATTATTATTATGATATATAGTGACTCCTACACCAAAAACATTTTAATAGGAGGAGCACTTACTGCTGGCGTTGTATTGCTATATTAGCATAATTACTTTATTTGTTACTCAACAATTATATATCACCAGGGTGACTTAGTTATAGGGTCAAGGAGACATTCTTCTCTGGGTATCGCTTCGAATCTGGTCCTGGTCATAAAATGGCTACAAGTCATTATCATCTTAACCACTTAGTGTGAAATGTGTTGATAGTAGGGCTTTAGTTCCTAGTGGACCGAGGCCTATGGCAGAAGTAACTTCAGAATGAACACATTAATTGGCAGCCTCAGTAGCGAACAGAGTATCAAGTCCAGATTTTATTTATTACGTATATCAGTAGTGCCTAGAGGCCCCAACTGAGATCAGGGCCCCATTGTGCTAGGCACTGCACCAATACCTAAGAGACAGCCCCTGCCCCGAAAAGCGGATAACCTAAACAGATAGGCCAAAAGCTTCTGGACTGAAAGCTGGATTGCCACTCTCCCACCAGAGTTTTGTCGTCAGGGTCACTCGGCCCTCTTCTCTATCTGTTTTCAGAAGGGATAGGAAGTGGGTAGTAAATAGAAGCATAGGGAGAGCAAGTCACTTGCCCAAGATCATAATGACCCGTGCCTGCCGATACGGGGGGGGGGGGAGGGGGAGATGAGCGAGAGCCACTGGCTTCAGCAGTATTACCGAGCTTGCTCAGACCATGTGAGCATGCTCAGTAAGAGCCAAACAGCAAATCTTGGGGTGGGGTAGGGGCACATGACCATGCCTCTCCCACACATCGCCTCTGAATACAGCAAGTCAGTGGAGGGCTGGGAACAGACCCCCTACATCTCCTGAGTCCCAGTGAAGTGCCCTTTCCAGTGGACTATGCTACCTTTCATGGTCCCAGCATGGAGACAACTACCATGGAGGCATGCAGTGGTCTCCAAAGTAGTCAATCTGACACTTTGCAAGAGCATGCCAAAAAAGAGCTTAGAGTGGGATTATATATAATGAATTAATATAGTAGCTACAGGGTACAAGGTGAACTTTGGAGAATATCTTTGAAATCCCCAGCAAATAATTATTCACATTATTAGTGTCAGATTTCATGTATCTCCAATAGGACATGACACATGCTGGAGGCCATATAGTGTATTTCTCTGGTGAAGACTTGACAGTTGTTGAAATGAGATGAGGTAGGCCAAGAAAGCCCTTCTTCCTTCCAAACAGGATGTGGTTGCCCTGTGACAGTAGTCAGTAACAAGGCTCATTTAGCGCTAAATGCAAAGCTAATTATTTTTATAATGCATGTTTTGGCAGAGAAAGTTGCAGCTTATAACTGACTTACTAACAAAGGAGTCTCTTCTCCTCTCAGTGCACAAGGGACTTATGCAAGCAACTCCTCTTCAATGCTAACATAAGCTACACATATAAATCCTGTATGCATCCCACAGGATGGCCAGGTGCCTAGGAATCCATATCCCTTACACACAAGTCAAATTTGGCTGAGACATTTTGATTCCACTGGGGATATGTAAATAAATTCAGACAAGCCCAACAGTCTGTTAATGTTTAAGCCAAACCAAGTCAATGGGAAAAATTCCCACAGTTTTTAAAGAAAACCTGTAGTGAATAGTTATAACGCTGTAGAGAACTAAATGGACATTGGCTGGCTCATATACTGAGGTGGCCAAATAATTTGCAGACAGCTATTCATTAGGTCGCGTTCATCTTTCTTTCTAGTTCCCTCTGGAGGATTCTGACTTTAAATTTACATTACCTCCCCAAAAGCATGCCACAGACTCTCTATGCATGTCTATTTAGCTATGGACCGGCTCTTTCCTACTCCAACTGTTTCTGGATATTAGTCTATCTATACCTTTGAGAGTGCTGGCTCTGCACTGCTTTCCAAGTTGCTGGTTCTGCACTGCTCTGCTTCCTCTAAAATCATTCCATGCCACCCACTTCAGCATTCAATCTCTCTCTTCTTTCCTTCATGCAAGCCACTGTTTCCCTACCTCCCAGCACTGACAACTCCACTCATTTGACTCCCCTTACTTGGTTTCCCTGCTCACAGAAAATTGTGCTTCTGCTGTCCCCACTTCACTTTTGGATTGCTAGCTGTTCTGCCCTATTGCTAGCTGCTACCTATTCCCTTGCAGCGGGGTTTGATTGAAGAGTCACTACTAGTCCCTCTGATCTGGCTTTTTGCAGAAGGGATGGAAAGGGGGTGCTTTCTATAGATAATGTTTTTGTGTGTACATGCGTGTATCAGTGTCCCTCCCATTAAAAAACACTCTGGGCAGGGGCAAATCCCCCAGTCCATTTGGGAATAGTGGAGGAATCTGGAAGAGCTGCCTCAGAAAGTGCAGGATAGAACGTAAGTGCCTGTAAGGGCCTGCTGCCAAAAGTGTTATGCTGCCATGCTGCTGGAGCACAGTCCAATTCAAGCTCTACCCAAAAGGAGGCTGAGTGAGAGCAGGGCCATTATGACAAGACACCTGGAAACATCAGCCAGTTCAGTAGGAAGAGAATGTCCAAAGTACTAAGTCAAAGAAACCACAGGTGCTGTGGCAACGAAGGAGAAGGGACAGATCACCAGCACAAGAAGCAGCTGATAGATCACCAAGGATAAGAAAAGAAGTGAGATCTTTGAAATTGTCAAACAGCTTTTTGCCAGGAGTGCCATTTCAGATTTTGGTAGGTGGGGGCAACTTTAACAGTGATTCCTGGGGCTACTTAGGCACTTGAAAACTCTAGTTTTTTGGCAGATAACTTAGCAATTAGCTGACAGGAGCCCTGTATCTAATTCCTTTATACAAGAAAGAAAAGTAAATAAATATTAGACCCATTCAGCTCTAATAAGAACATGTTCTGACATCTTGTGGCAAGTCATTTAAGGGACACTGGTTAGGTTTAAAATGTTAACGTATATTTTTACTTTATTACTAACTCTGTGGAGAGAGAGACCCCCGTCAGAATTCCTAGGTTCTATCCTAGCTCTGGGAGGAGAGCGGGGTCTAGTGGGAAACAGCAGGGAGCAGATACATCTTGGCGGCTGTGATTGCAGAGCCATTGGCCATTATCTTTGAAAACTCGTGGCGAACCGGGGAAGTCCCGGATGACTGGAAAAAGGCTAATGTAGTGCCAATCTTTAAAAAAGGGAAGAAGGAGGATCCTGGGAACTACAGGCTAGTCAGCCTCACCTCAGTCCCTGGAAAAATCATGGAGCAAGTCCTCAAAGAATCAATCCTGATGCACTTGCATGAGAGGAAAGTGATCAGGAACAGCCAGCATGGATTCACCAAGGGAAGGTCATGCCTGACTAATCTAATCGCCTTTTATGATGAGATTACTGGTTCTGTGGATGAAGGGAAAGCAGTGGATGTATTGTTTCTTGACTTTAGCAAAGCTTTTGACACGGTCTTCCACAGTATTCTTGTCAGCAAGTTAAGGAAGTATGGGCTGGATGAATGCACTATAAGGTGGGTAGAAAGCTGGCTAGATTGTCGGGCTCAACGGCTAGTGATCAATGGCTCCATGTCTAGTTGGCAGCCGGTATCAAGTGGAGTGCCCCAAGGGTCGGTCCTGGGGCCGGTTTTGTTCAATATCTTCATAAATGATCTGGAGGATGGTGTGGATTGCACTCTCAGCAAATTTGCGGATGATACTAAACTGGGAGGAGTGGTAGATACGCTGGAGGGGAGGGATAGGATACAGAAGGACCTAGACAAATTGGAGGATTGGGCCAAAAGAAATCTGATGAGGTTCAATAAGGATAAGTGCAGGGTCCTGCACTTAGGATGGAAGAATCCAATGCACAGCTACAGACTAGGGACCGAATGGCTAGGCAGCAGTTCTGCGGAAAAGGACCTAGGGGTGACAGTGGACGAGAAGCTGGATATGAGTCAGCAGTGTGCCCTTGTTGCCAAGAAGGCCAATGGCATTTTGGGATGTATAAGTAGGGGCATAGCGAGCAGATCGAGGGACGTGATCGTTGCCCTCTATTCGACATTGGTGAGGCCTCATCTGGAGTACTGTGTCCAGTTTTGGGCCCCACACTACAAGAAGGATGTGGATAAATTGGAGAGAGTCCAGCGAAGGGCAACAAAAATGATTAGGGGTCTAGAACACATGACTTATGAGGAGAGGCTGAGGGAGCTGGGATTGTTTAGCCTGCAGAAGAGAAGAATGAGGGGGGATTTGATAGCTGCTTTCAACTACCTGAAAGGGGGTTCCAAAGAGGATGGCTCTAGACCGTTCTCAATGGTAGCAGATGACAGAACAAGGAGTAATGGTCTCAAGTTGCAGTGGGGGAGGTTTAGATTGGATATTAGGAAAAACTTTTTCACTAAGAGGGTGGTGAAACACTGGAATGCGTCACCTAGGGAGGTGGTAGAATCTCCTTCCTTAGAGGTTTTTAAGGTCAGGCTTGACAAAGCCCTGGCTGGGATGATTTAACTGGGAATTGGTCCTGCTTCGAGCAGGGGGTTGGACTAGATGACCTTCAGGGGTCCCTTCCAACCCTGAGATTCTATGATTCTATGATTCTATGGGTTTTATATAAGAACATCAGAATGGCCATACTGGGTAAGACCAATGGTCCATCTAGCCCAGTATCCTGTCTTCCAACAGTGGCCAATGGCAGGTGCCCCAGGGGGAATGAACAGAACAGGTAATCATTAAGTTGCCCTGTTGCCCACTACCAGCTTCTGGCAAACAGAGGCGAGGGACACGCAGAACATGGTGTTGGATCCCTGCCCACCCTGGCTAATAGCCATTGCTGGACCTATCCTCCATGAACATATCTAGTTCTTATTGGAACCCTGTTATAGTTATAGCCTTCACAACATCCCCTGGCAA